CCCAGCAGATGCAGAAAAAGCATTTGATCAAATTCAACACCTTTCCTGATTAAAAAAAAAAAATACTCAGCAAACTAGGAAATGAAGGAAAGTAACCCAACATAATAAAGCCCCTGCATGAAAAGCCAAATGCTAACACCACATTTAGTGGTGCAACCCTGAAAACTTTCCCTCCGATTCTAGGAACGGGGCCGGGATGCGCACTGCAGCCAGTTCCGCCCCACACAGCGCCGGAAAGAAGTCCTGGCTGGAACAATCAGGGAGGCTAAGTGGGGCGACCCGATCCGCTCAGTCCCCACAAAGTCAACAGTTTTCTTTACAGCTGGTAAAGAAAAACGGGAAACAGGAACATTCCTCGATATTTAGAAATAGCCATCAAAAGAATTCAAAACAGAAACACTTAAGGAATGAAAGGTTTTTCCCTCTGAGACCATGGCTTCTTACTATAAGCCCTTCTGTACATTTGATTATTTAAGCATGTGCCTAAATTATTTTGATTACAGCTTTACATTTTAATTTTCATTTATTTCTCTTCAAGCTTTAAGAGGAAATTTATTTAGAGAGTTACAGAGGGCGGAGGAGAGAGGAAGGCAGAGGGAATGGGCCGGGTGGGGGAGGAGGAGGAGGGAAGAAGAGGCGTGGGTGTGGTCCCTGGAGGAAGAGCATGCAAATTTTATTTATTTTATTTTAAAATATTTTATTTATTTATTTTTTAGAGAGGGAAGGGAGGGAAATAGAGAGAGAGAGAGAGAGAGAGAGAAACATGAATGTGCGGTTGCTGGGGGTTATGGCCTGCAACCCAGGCATGTACCCTGGCTGGGAATCGAACCTGCGACACTTTGGTTCCCAGCCCGTGCTCAATCCACTGAGCTACGCCAGCCAGGGCTGCAAATTTTTATTTTTAAAAAGTCCTATTTGTTTGTGTAAATGATCCAAACAGGCCTAAGAAGGAAAATAAAAACTTCCCAACTTCACAAGCCCTTCATTTCCACTCTCTGGAACCGACTTCTCTTTCCAGTATTTCAGATAACCTGGAAATTTCCTGTATATGTATAAGCATATCTGTATGGGTGTGTATCACTTTAAATAGATCAAGGGAGATAGTACGGTGTCTGCCTCACTTACTCTTTCCACTTGAAAATGCCTTTGACAGCTTTTGTGTTTGCTGCCCGTGGTCCTCCTCCTCAGACCGAAGAGCTCCCCTGTGCGTTCACGCCCCGTGATGTGTCTGCCATTCCTTATCAAGGCTGCACGGGTTGCTTTCGGTTTTTGTTTCTTGTGTTTTGTTGTTTTGCTGTTTCAAACGATGCCATGATGAACAGCCTGTACATGGTGCGTGTCTGTTATCTTGCATGAATAAATCTGGAAAAATGGAACTTTATTGGGAGCTAAGCAATCAAAGACACTATAAGAAGCCTCATAAATAAAGACTTGTCTTATACGTGCTCCTCTGAAGTATAACAGACGTGCAGAAAAGTGTGCACATAATAAGTGTGCACAGAGGGATGTTCACAATGGGAATTGCCCTGGAGTCAGGAGGCAGAAGAGGATCCACATCCCAGGGGAGCCCTGTGTCCCTTCCAGCTGCCCCTTTCTGGCAGCGTGAGCGCCCTCCTCTGGCCTGGTTCTGAACGGTGGAATCGAATAGCCCGCACCCTTTGGTGCCCGGTGTCTCCAGCGCAGCATCCTGTCTACGGGATTCATCTCTGTTACCTCGGGCAGCCGAAGCTGGTTTGTGCCCAGCGCTGTTTGCCCTTGCTTTGTGCGACTATTCCACAGTCCGTCTGCCCACTGCTGGTGGGCATCTGTGTTCTTCCCGGTGAGGGGCTGTTATGAAGAGAGCTTTATTTTGTCGAACATGTGCAGCTGTTTCAGTCGGGTGTCCTCGAGGAGTGGACTTTCTGGGCCATGGGGATGTGCATGGTCAATGTTAGCAGATGCTCCTGGCTGTCCCAGTTCACACGCCCTCCGGCCATGGGCAAGGGTTCCAGTGACTCCACATTCTTGCCATTCTTTAGATTTTTGTCTGTGTTTTTTATTGTAGCCATTTGATATGGACTCAAAACGATTCTGTGCGGTTCTTGGAGAACCACTCTGGACTGGACTGCAAATCCAGAAAGCTTGCTGGGGGTGGGGGTGGGGGTGGGGAGGGGCTGAAAGCAAGCTGGACTTGGTCTGGTCTGGGAGGTATGGCTGACGGCGCTGGGCCTGCACCTGCACCCGAGCTAAGATGGTGGTGGCGAGAGCACCCCTTTAAAGACAGCCCAGCTGCTCTGGGGTTTCTGCTGACGGGTCTGTCCTGAGGGCCCCGCGAGATCACTTGCAGCGAGAGAAAAGCCTTCTCTAAGGGAAGAAGAGAATTCAGCTTGGATTCTTTAGTGGCCCCAGGTGGGAAATTGTTTCTTCTGGCCCATAAAGCAGCCGTCTGTGTTGCTGTGTTTTACTACCAGCGTTCCCGCACTGGCTGGAAGAAGCTGGCCCAGGCAGATGTGCTGGGGGTGGGGGTGGCAGGGAGAAATTTATGCACCAGACTCCTCAGGACGCCTCTGCAGCTTCCTCTGCCACACGAGCCAGGTGCAGCCCCCGCTTCCAGCCTGCCCAAGGCGGGCGTCAAGCCTGTAGTTAGGGGACAGGTCAGAATCTCAGAAGAGACGTCTGGACCAAAGACATATACAGCAGGTCCTGGAATATTGTTGTTTCATTCAATGTCGTTTTGTTATAATGGGGATGAGATGCAATAGGAATTTAATCCTTGTTTCTGTCAACAAGGATTCATTCTATGTTGTTCCACTTAAAGTCGCAGAACCTACTGAAGACGTTAAGTGAGGACTTCCCCTGCATGAGGGTGATTGCAGCCACTGATGGTCTTCAAAGACTTGGAGACTGAAACCCCCTTTCAGCTCCTGCTACCCAGAGAGGATGCTGAAGTGTGCAGCCAGGGAGCCTGACCAGTATAGCGTTTGCCGTGCCAGCAAGAGCAAAGCTGAGGGTGAGTCCACTGGGGGCAGGATGTGGGGGCCCCCAGGCTTAGCCAGGCCCCAGAGAACAGGTGTCAAGGGTCATTGGCCTTGTGCTCAGTGTCCGAGGCCAGCAACGTGTTGGTTGGCCAGAGAGGCTGGAGAACGGGAGACCCCCTGTGAAGTTAGATGCAGCACAGTCCCCAGACCACCCTCACTTCTGACACCAGTTGCAAGTTTAAGGGTCTCCACGACCATTCGTAAGTTCTAGAATTCACTAGAAAGACTCACAGGTCTCACGGAAAGCAGTTATACCCATGGTAATAGTCTGTTAAAGGGAAAGGATGCCAGTTAAAACCAGCCAAGGGAAGAGGCGCATTGGGCACCTGCATTTCTTTGCCTGAGAGGTCTTTAGTCCGCCCGCTCTGCCCAGACCAGGAGAACCAGAGGACGATGTCCCTGGGAGCTCCCCTCAAACAGTGACTGGTGGGGGGTGTACAAATGTCCCAGCTCCCTTGGCCCTTGAGTGGGCGCTCTGAAGACTGCTCCGCGCTGGCTCCCGGTCTCCCAACAGGATTAAGCTCCTGTCACCCGTGGTGGCAAGTGGTTTGGTCACGCACCCTTCACAGGCTGCCTCTCCTTCCCCTTCCCCACCTCATTGCCTCTCCCCTGGTACTTCCCGCGATCTTCTCCCTCCGTGTCTCAGGGTCAGCTTCTGGGGGCCCCTAAGTGAACAGGTGGTTGTTACCATTTACCAGGACCTGATTATGCTCCAGGCATCCCCAGAAGATTGACAGGAAGCCATTGCGTCCCTAGTCTCCCCGAAAGGAGGGGTCCCCGGCCACATTTGACATGTGAGGACACCAAGGCTGAGCGACACCTTGCCAGCGGCCCAAAGCAGGGGCACTGGAGTCCAGACGGGCTCCTTCCACCGCATCTGAGGTGATGCTCTTAAGAGCAGGGACTGGAACTGAGTCTGAGCTGCCTCCACTTACCCCGTGCTGAGCAGCCCAGAGCCTGCAAGTGGGAGGTGCTTGGTAAGCCTGTCTGGCCAATAAATAGTGAATCCCCACTATGGCCAAATAAATCCTTGTATATGAGTTACCTAACATCACCATTATAATAGCCCTAGGGAGTACCTACTATTACGTCATCCTTATGTCATTGGTGAGGACCCCACGGGGAAAAGCCACCTGCCCAAGGCCACATGGCTGGTGCTGGAAGAAGCCTGAGTCCTTCTGCAATCCACAATAGGGATGGAAGATGGGGTGGGGGGGAAATGAGCTGAAGGAAAGAGGCAGGGGGAGGGGAAGCCAAGGCTCGCCCTGCTGGCAGCTGGTGCCAGCGCATCGTCCCATTTTGGAACGCGTCTCTGTCACACACAGGGTAAATGGGTCTATTTCCAGTGAGTTATCTGCTAGCCGGCAGCTCCATCCAGCTGCTCATTAGCACAATAAAAAAATTATCAAACGAGCCTTCTGATTCCCAGTCCCGGGGGAACGAACCACGGAACTTGGAAACAACTCGTTAGTAAGTCTGATCAAAGTCTGGTTGTGCAATAATTAGAAACTACGGCCTCTTCCTCCAGGCTGGGGGCTCATAAACAGCAGGTGCCTGAAGTTTTTATTTGGGTCGGACCAGAAACCTTGGCAGATTCATTTCCTCCTAATTTGCACCCACTTCGATGGGGAAAGCAGTACGAGGCTGGGTTTTTGCTCCGGGAGCCCCACTGGCTCCGTGTCTGCAGCAGGCCAGAAGTGAGGGGGTGGGAGGCATATACTTAAATGAGCCCATGAGCTGCCCAGAAAGCAAGATGGACAAGGCCCTTAGACAGCAGGCATCAGTGCCAGGTCCAGGGCTGAGCGGGGAGTGGAATCCCTTTTTCTCTCATTGAGGTCCCCATAGCAGCAGCGGATGGGAAGGGGAGTGTGGTCATGGTCGAACGCTGGAGGCCACAGTTGCGACTGACCATCCAAAGATCCCAGGGGCCAAAGAGGGTGGGCCCTAGGGAGGTTCAGCTAGCATACTAGGTGGTTCCTTCACTGAATCATTCAATAAATATTTATTGAGGACCTACTACGTGCCAGCACTGTGCAAGGCATGGGATCAGAAGGTGAATAAAAAGACAGCGCCTGCCCTTAGAGATCATACAGGTCTGTGAGGAGGATGGTCCATCCCGGCGGAGAGAGTCAAGTTCAGAGTCAGAGAGGGCATGGGTGCAGCTCCCGAAGAGGAGGAGTGTGGGGGCAGAGGCCAGGCAGACCTCGGCCCCAGAGCGCAGAACAGAAGAGTCTTCATCCTCCCAGAATCTCTTGCAGGAGTGTCCTGCGAATCTGGAGCGGCTGCAACCTGCTGACCCAGCTGTGGCCTCCGAGCCCCATCCTCCTCCTTGCCTTCAAGCTCTCAGGTACTGGATATTGGTGCCCAGGAACAGGAAGTCCTAGGGGAGACAAGACAGAACAGGATGGTGAAAGCATCCTCAGCTCCAAAAAGCCGCATCTCCAATTTAAAAGGAGGCCGGTGGCTGGGAAAACACGGGCCCTGCCAGAAACCAGGTTGGGGCATAAATCTGTGTGTGCTTCTGTCCCCAAGGTCTCCATAAAGCACAGCTTTTGCCCGCTACCTTCTCTAAGGTAGCGATTTATTTGCCATTTCCCAAGCTGCTGCTTCCTGGCAGGCCTCATAAATGTCCTTTGTGTCACCTAAATGTTCTCTCCTGGGCAAATAACACAAAATTGTGAGCTGCTGGGGTTTACGCTCCTACCTCCTCGTAGGTTTCCATCACCCAAACGGGTGGAAATTCTGAACTCAAGGCAAAGAAAGTCCTATTCTTTCCCCTAGCGATACATCCGCTGCCTTTGGGCGTCAAATAAGTGGACAGTGTTGACCTCAAAATTCTAATGAATATGATAGCATATAACAAATCTTTCCATGATTTCCCACGTGCCAGACGGACCTAGAAGCTTTCATACTTGGTCTCTCATCTTCATAAGAGCCCAGTGAGCTTGCACCCCATTTTACAGAGGAGAAAACTGAGGCCAGCTGCATGAATTGCCACTCAGCCTTTGCTTTGAACAATGATCTGACTCTGTAAACACTCAGCAGTAGTTGGGTGTTGAGATCTCTGTGCCTGAAGGACCTTTGGACATTTGATTTCCAATACACCAGTTGGTTGGTAGGCGCTTCAGTGTCCTGGCCACACCGCTGCCCTCCACTCTCTTCCGTAGCTGTTATTTGCTGCATGTTGATGATGTGTGGGCACCAGGCAGCCCCTCCTTTAGAGCTCCCAGGCCCACCGCCCCTGTCATCCCCCCTTACAGAGGCCGGTCTAGAAAGATAACGAACTGTGGGGCACAGACGAACCATAAAACACTCGATCAGAATAGTGGAGAGAATAGTGGAGAATTGGACACCTTCCCTGGCGTTAAAATAGTTAAGTAAATTATGGTCCATCTGATGGGTGGGACAGGACTGAACATTGGGTGTGGGGTGGGGGACAAGACTGCAACAAAAGGAAGAAAAAGAAAGAAAACGTGTGTGAGCACCAGCGATGCAACTATTTGAAACACAAATAATTTTTTAGATGCTTAGAGAAATAAGAAGTACTGAAAGGAGTCCACCAAAATTCAAACTGTGGGTGTGGGGGCAGCACAGCAAGCATATATTTATAATAAAGCTCTTCCACTTTTAGAACTTGGCCTGTTAGCATATCTAGGATTGCAGTATTTTAAAATGAGCTGGTCTTGAGGTTAACCCAGGTCATTCATTTGGGGCTGGCAGGTAGGAGGCTGTATAGCACAGACCTTGTCAACCACCCCTCGCTCCAATAGAAATGCCACTTCTGAAGGCCAGGTGGATGGCTTGGTGGGGTCTAGCCATGCTGACAACTTCCCGCTGCAGTCCAGGCTCCCCCAGCTGCAGGGCTGGGCGGCACCTCGCTCACTGAGCTTTGGTCTCCGAACGTGGAAAGCTGAATCATCCCCCTCCCCCAATTCTCTGAGCCCCCCTGAGCCCACTCACCTTGTGGATCTGGAGAACAGGGTCATAGAGCTGAATATGCTTTAGCAGAGGAAGGCGGAAGCCTTTCGCCAATTTCTCTGGAGGGTGAGGCACGACATTGAGAGAGATTTTTTAAATAAATAACAATGGTAGACAAAGTTTTTTTTAAAAAAACTTTTGCTCAAAAGCTATACACAGTATATTCTCATTTAATTATCACCAAAGACTGGGAGGTAGATATGATTATTCTCATTTTACAGATAAGGACACTGAGGCACGGAGTGCTCAAGCAACTTATCCTAGGTCACACAGCTAGAAAGGGGCAGAAGTGGGAGTTCAACCCAGGAAGGCTGGCACAGGAGCCTGAGCTTGCAGCCACGAGGCTGTGTGGAAGGGGTGGTGGGTATGGGGCAGAACACACTCGTGCCAGAAGCTGTGGGCAGCTGCTCTCTGCCCTCCACCCTCATCTCATCTTCTATTGCAGCAAAATGACGTAGAGATTCATGATGGACACAGGGTTTAGGTCTTTATGCTCCATGTTTTTGACTAGGGAGTTGGCAGTTGATGCAGAAATGTGAGTTCAGAGGTGGGCTGCCTTGTGCTCTCTGTACTAACTTGGTCCTTAGTTTTTCACTTTCCACTTCAGGGTATAGGGGACACTTCTCTGAGTTTCTCTTTCTCTTAGAAGGAGTTTCCTATGCTTCAAATTGCTGCCCCAGTCCCCAGCCCTCATTAAGCCCTGGAGGGAGAAGAAGTTCACTTCAACACTCCCGTTGTAAAGACAGGCCACTGACGCTCACGGAGAAGTGACTTGCCCAAGGTCTCACAGCCTGCAGGAGAGCCCTGTTTCCCAACTTCAAGTCCAACTCTCTTTCCCCCGCAAAACAGTGTCTACTCCTGACTTGGAAAGATCCAGAGTGATTCTTACCATTGACCTCCCGGTAGAGGGTGTTGATAAGGTAGTAGTTGAGCAGCGCTTCTAGCAGCTCCACCTGGTGGAGAACAGGAGAATGGCACATATCGTCACAACGTTCACCTGGTGGTCACAGTAGTCATCGTGTTCCCCACCTGGCAGATAGCACTGTGACCACGTGTGTCATCTTGCCCACCAATAAACCTCCACACTACCACCGTGAAGGCAGGTGGTTCTGTATGTGCTGACATGGCAAAAGGCTTGAGAAAAGCAAATTTCACATAGATACCTACACCATGTTACTGTGAGAAAAAACTGTTTCAAGATCTACACCTGTAGGTGCGCAAAGGGATAGAACTATGCTTGCAGACTACACACCCAACCACCTTTCCTCTAGGAAGGACATCGAGGTTTGGCTTGGCCTTATTTTAAGTACTCATTTGTTTAAATGAGAGTGTTTTCTGAATTACTTGTATAGTGAACAGAAATCAAGAGACAAAATTTTTAACACTACATGACAGGTATAGGGCTCAGAGCACTGTAGATCTGCTTCAGTCTTCACAGTAACCCCTTTTGGTTGGCATCCATGACCCCATTTCACAGATAAGAAAACTGAGGCCAACAGAATGAAGGTGGTTTATTAGAAACTGGGCAGCGGGGCCAGAATTTGAATCCAGATTTATCTTATTCTATAGGGCTTGCTTTTTATATCCATGTTCCAAAAACCTGATGTTTAACTTTCTGTGAATTTTTATATGTGTTTTACTTTATAGAACACTTTTACATGCCATACATAGGTAAGATATTGGTGTGTCATTGTGCACTTTATTCTCTAAAAAGAGTCTCCTTTGGGGCCCTGTGGGCAGTATCTCTCCCCACACTTCGTGTGTTCATTTCCTCTTCGTAAGTACTCAAGGGAAAGTCTGGGAGGAGGAGAACTGGCTGGGGGTGGTCAGAGGAGGTCAGTGTCGCTGGGACCGTAAAGAGGAAAACAACTACTGCGAGTTCAAGTCTTCCGTCTCCTCCTTGGCCTGAGAGGAGCAGCTGCCATCACCCCACCTTCCCCCTTTTCAGAAATTTCCCTGTGATTGCTTCGGCCCACACGGATCTTCCTATTCTCCTTCCTCCTTTAATAGGGGGCCATCTATTTCACCACGTCTTCCTCGTTGTGGGAATCGTGTCTTGTTTTGTGTGCCCGCCCAGCAATCAGTTCCTCTTGTTTTAATGAGTCCCTCTTCCTACCCTCCCCACCCTCCAAGGACCCTTCTTTCCAATTTCAGTGCGCGTTGTGGGGGATTGCAAATTCTGTCTCCAGGAAACCCTTCCTTGGCTGATTGGCCTTGTCGAATTTCTGGCCATCCTGATTGGCTAAAGAATGGGCACATGGCTAAGACTGATCCAATGAGAGCTAGCACAGGGACTATTTTTTTTTTGTAGGTTTAAATAAAATGAAACTACAGGGAATTTAGATGGTTTCCACCAATAAGTGGAGAGATTCTTCTTCTTTTAATCCTCACCCAAGGACGGTTTTTTTTTTTCATTGCTTTTAGAGAGAGATGAAGGGAGAGAGGAAGAGAGAAATAGCAATGTGAGAGAGAAGCACTGATTGATTGCTCCTCCTGTGTGCCGGACCAGGGATCACACTCCTGGACCCAGAACTGTATGCTGGGATCAGGAGCAAACCCAAAACCCAGGTATGTTCCCTGTGCAGGAATAGAACCTGTGACCCTTCCAGTTACTAGATGACACTCCAACCACTGAGCCACACCAGCCAGGGCTGTAGAGAGATTCTTGCTGCATTAATTTGAGTACCTAGGTCCAGCTATGCCTGAAATCTCTATCTTTAGTTTTCTTTGTTGTTTTTGTTTTTTAATGCTATGCTTCCATACTTTTCCCTTGTATGCTTAAGACATTTTTAGTCGTCTTTCTATTCCTTGAAGTTAAAAGAACTCGGTCCAACAGAAGATTTAATTGCATATTGTCTTACACTGGGATGTAACCTCTGCTGGGGCAGAGAGCAGCTCTCTTCCTCCTCTGCTTTCTACTCGAGGCGCTACAGCTTTGTTCAGTAAACACTCTGAATTAATTAGCATCCCAATCATTGCATAATTAAAAATGATAATAACTTACATTGAATACTCCAACTTTAGATTCTTTCAGTTCCACTTGTATCCTGTAATGAACCAGAGGCAGTTCAGAGATGTGGGTCTCCCACGGGCGACCTCAGCACTGGGGGAGATCCCAGAAAGGAGGAGGCGCTGGCTTGAGAAGTCATGGGGCCAAGAGCGGGGTAGGGGCGGGGGTGAAAAAGATGATTGAGTAACCCAAACCAGCGGTAGGACCTCATTGGGAGGACTCGAAGAAGGGAAGTGGGTAGGGCAGAGCCCAGTCTTTTCCTATCACTTCCGGAAGTCAGAGTAGCTGATGTCTCAAAGTCACAGATTAAGACAAGCAGTATTAGTAAATTCTGTAGAGGTCTGGAAGTAATGGGGGCTAGCTGGAAAGGAAGTTCATAGAAGCAGGGCCGGTGGGGTAAAGGAATTTGGCCAACTGAGCTAGAATGTAAGTTTCCCTCTCAAATGGGGGGCCCCTAACTTTGACAGGAGGATCTCCTCACACCCCCACCTCCAGCGAGGATCAGGTGCAGGGCCAGACAGAGCAAGCCCAGTTGAGCGCCCCCTAGTGGGTGGGAGACTGACTTACTTTTCTGGCTTCAGGAACCCAGTGATCTTGCTGGCGTTGAAGGTCAACATGGCAGATACATTAGCAGCCTGGAAATTCCAGGAGAGGGAAACAGGTCTGAATGCACAGGAAAGATAACTACGAGAACCAGCTGTCTTCTCTAAACAAACAGCTCGGTGAATTAAAACAGGAACTCCTCCTCCACTGGACTATGGACTCCCAGAAGGCTTATTGTAGGTGCTCAATACATGTTTGAACTTGAACATTTTTACTTGAAATTGTTGACTATGATAGCAATGAAACTTCAAACAGACTACTGAGAGAAATCTCTGGAAAAGGGACCATTTCTAGCTATCTCAGGGCTAAGATTCAGCCTTAGTAATAATAATAATAATAATAATAATAATATTGTTTTAATTTAAAATCTATTGGTAACAACAATTACATAACAATAATAGCAATATCAAATTGCAGGTATAGCACGTAGGTGTAATTACTCTTCTAGATATTTGTCTCTTTGAGTTTCAAACCTAAATAAAAGAGCACAGCTCTCCATCCAGCAGGAGCCCCCAAAGGCTCAGAATCCCTTCTTTATTAGGCAGGGTCCACTGGAAGAGGAGAAACTCTCAATGTTTAACTCAGAGAGACTTTAATGCAGGGAATTGGTTATACAAGTGATGGAAATCCTGAGAAGCCAAAGGAAAAAGCGTTTCAGAGGCAAGCGAGAGATTAGCAGAGGCAGAAAGCTGCTTCCGCCCCAAGATGAAAAGAACAGAGGGACTTGGGGTTATAGGAGCCACCATGGAGGAGACACAGGCACTCCCCCAAGTCTCTGTCTAGGACAAGGAGAGGAAAACCATGCTGTGGCTTCTTCCTTCCTCCCTCCTGCGCCTCATTCTCCTGACAGTGCCTTCCATTGGCTGACCTCCCTGGAAGTCAGGGTGCAAGGGATCCAGGGAAATGTAGTCTTTGGGGGTCAGATGTAGATACAGACACAGAGCAGAGCAAACAGGTCAAACACCCCTAAACCCTCCTCCTCACAGTAGCCCAGACTCACTTAGTGGGAGACACATACATTAAACAAACCTGAAAACAGCTACATAAGTACGGATATATTTATAATAAATGTAACGAAGAAAATAATGGGGTGCTAGAAAAGAAACATGACAAGGGGCCCGAGGTACACTGAGGTGAGGGCAATCAAGAAAGGCTGTTTGTGAAAGCGATGTTCGAGTTGAAGCCCGAGGGAAATGGGTAAGTGGGGGGTGGGGAGAAAAGCACACGGGAAGAAGGAACCGCGCTCGCAAATGCCAACCTTACCACGCCAAGCTGAAAGACTGGCTCCTTGACAGAGCCGGGCAGGAGCACAAAGGCCTCGATCTCTATCTGGGGGGCCAAGGACAGATTCCCAGGGCTGAAGTTCAGCACAGGGGCTGAGGCCACTCTTCCCTGGAGCTCCAAGTTCATGTCGGGGTAGCGTTTGGCTAACTGCGGGGCAGAATGAGGAGATTACGTCAAGAGAATGAAACACGTAGGTTTGCCAGGAGAGCTGGGGGGAGTCCGAGAAATCTGAGAATGCTTTTTGGTTGATTTTACTGCCATAAAATGTGCTGTGCCTTTTGCTCTGAGTGGTATAACGGGACACCTTTCCATGTTAGACACATAGAGTCTGTACCCTCTTTTTCATGGCTGCGTTGTATTCCATTGTGCATGGCTCCTGCTGCTGATGGAAGCCTACTGGGCATCAGGTTGTCTCTAAGGTTTTGCCATGATAATGACCCCTCCGGGTGCACCCTCGGCTATTATTTGGGGGGATACATTCCTAGAAGTGGAATAACTGAGTCAAAGGGCAGGGATATTTTCTAAAGCTTTCTGACCGGAATTGCCAAACTCCCAGCCCAATTTTTTCATTCCCCACTCTTTCCCAGGCATAGGTGAGAGCTATTGTTCGTGCGCACCCTCCTCGCAGGAGGGTGACTATATATACAGAGATCAGATGCTAATAGTTTTGAAATATGACACAACCAGATACTTCCATTTCAAAAGTGCTCATAACGTTCTGTTTAACTAGGGGTAGGTGCAGGTTTAATTTGGGGCAGGACTGATCCTTTTTGGGGGGGGGTAGTTGATAAAAGAACAACAGTCCCCTGAGCCTTTTGGTTATACAAATAAAAAATCTACACCCTATTGTAAAAGAGAGATGTTTAGAAAGTTGAGGACGGACACTCTTTAGTAAGAAGGTGGACTGAGTTGCTTCCCTGTCGGGTTAAATATGACGCAAGCAGGAAAGGGGGAGGGAGAGTTTGCTTCTCTTTCTGGGGCAACAGGGATGCTGGAGCCAGGGTGCGACCAAGGGCCCTCCAAAGCTGCCGGGACAACACGCGCAGTCGGGCCATTGGGCCCTTACGACGAGAAAGAGCCCACAGGGAGTGCCTTATGGAAGGACACAGCCCTGGCACTGCAGGACTTGAAGTGTAAAAAATTTCCCACCAGTGTAATTCCTCTGAGCCATCATTCAGCCTGTCTGAGCTGTGTTTTCGGGGGGACTCAGAAGGTGGGGGAGAGGCGAGGACAGGTGGCTTTCGGTGGGATTAAATGAGATGCTGCCCAGAAAGAGCTTAGCCCGGCAGCGACAGAGCCACGAGGTTATTCTCGGCAACACAGGGTGTGGCCGAAGACTGGAAGTGACCCTCATGCGCTTCCGCGGGAGTCTGGACCAATGCGCTCTGGTCAGTCCACACACCAGCAGACAGACGCCCGTGGAAACAGGAGTGAAGGAGATCTCTGTCTACCTATATGGAGCGATCCCCCGGTACAGTTAGGGGAGAAAACGCACTAAATGGCATGTACAATGGGCCTTCAGTTCTTAAGAAAAGAGGAAAGACACACAAATTTATTTGTATGTACACGGTGTTCTCGGAAGGATGCATACACTCGTGATACTGGTAGACTCAGGGTGGGAACTGGGTGGTTGGGGGACAGGAGTAGACAGGAGACTCTCCATTCTGTAGCCTTTTATGTCATTCAAATACTGAGCTATGATAATTTATTCTCCAGTCAAAAAACAATTGTTTAAAGCATCAAGAATGGCGTCTAGTCCCTAGCACACCCTCTTTAGTCAATGTTATTAACTAGGGTACATGTGCATTTCCTGGGGTTCTCAGATAGCACCGGTAAATGACTGGGGTGCCTGTGGCCCCAGGAGACCCAGGCTCAGGCCTGCGCTATCTGGGCTTTGAGGGGAGGAGAGGCCCAAAGCCCACAGCACTCTGGCCTTCCCTGGGGGGCTGGTGGCTGCTCACTGACCCCTGCACAAGCTGAGAGGAGTGCGGGGGTTTTAGAGAGGAACCCTGGAAGGCTAGCCTGCACCCACCGAGTGCTGATGGACCCTTACCCGGGGGACGAAGGGGCGGAAGGACTTGGTGGTCAGTCGGAGGTTAGAGGTCGGTGGAACCTGCAGGAAAGAGACACAGAAGCTTTAGGTTGCTCCTTCTGGAGCTGAAGGTCTGAAGAGAGAGGTGGGGGTATTTAGGACTGGAACTTCTTGAATGCTCAGGGTTACCATGTGACAAGATGCCCGTCCTGCATCGAACGGAAGTACATGAGTCCGCAAGTACTCTCTGCTCTCCATGGGGCCCAGGTGACATGTGGGACAGACTCCAAGGATTCATGAAGGTGAGATTTGCAGACACACAGACCTAGGTTCGGCTCCTGGCTTTGTCACTGTGTGGTCTCAGGCCACTCCCTTCACCTCTGAGCTCCAACTTCCTCACTATAAAATGGGTCAGTCATAGTCCCCACCTATCAGGTCACTGGGAGGGCTCAGTGAGTGGGTGCGCACAGTGCGTCTGGCACAAGACCTCGCACACAGTGAGCGCTCGGTGAAATGTAGCTGTAGGATCCAGCCACAGAAGAAAGGACTGCACCGCAGGTGGGGCCGGTGAATCGGATGTGATGAAGGAAGGAAAGGTCCGTGCATGTGTGAGAATCCTTTCGAAGGGGAGAGTCACTCCAGCCCTCCACCAGACTGTCCCCAGTTTATTTCCAGGGGAAACTAGATCCTCCAAATCAGACCGCCCTGTGTATCCCCCACCATCCTGACATTGCTCGCGAGCTACAAGAGCTACGAGAAATAATCTTCTGAAGCCCAGAAATGTTAAAGACACTGGAGATATTAAAAATGTGATCCACTATAAAATTTAGTATCCCTTTTACAAAGTCACATTTGAGAGAGTTGTTTTAGAGGTAAGTGTTAGGAAGACTTTGTCTCTCCTTTCCACCATAAATCACTAAATTGTGTACCCTTTTCACTTTGGCTCCAAGGAAGCTCCCAGATAGATTTGTGATTAGAAAAATCAATTTGTGGGCCCAGTGTCTTCATAATTGTGCTTTACTTTCAACTTGGTCTTTATTTACTGTTTATTCTATGTAACTTTATGCTTTTCATTCATTAAAATCTTTTTTAAAAAATCATTTAGAAACCATCAGAATGAGAGAAAATATGAATTAGAATAACAGATTTAGACTAGGGGGAAAATAAAACACAAAGTTTTCCACAATTGTTATAAAAGAAAAAGAACTTTGACTTTTGAGCTTCCTGGCAGCCAAAGTGAAGAGGGAAATTGTGCTAACATGTTTTCCCTGGTCTTGATCTTTTTTGTAATCATAGTTTATGATTTCACTGATGTAAAGGGTGTAGAAAGGACAGAAGGAAGGGAAACCAGGTTACATCGTTACTTGTAAGCATTATTCCACCACCATCCTCACCACATCATCGGTGATGGAGAAGTTCAGGTACCCTGCCTCGTAATATACTTGGCTGGCTGTGTTGAAGACATAATCAGAGATGGCAAAGTAGACCATTCGACTGTGTTCCTCGGGGAGGCTCATGACAGGAGCAAGGAAGGCGACTGGGGAGCGATGATCACGGTTAAAAATTTCGGCCTGGAGAGAGAAAACAAGGTCCATTGAAGTTTTTGAAGTTTATCCCAGGGCTGGACATCCGAGCTGGGTAATCACCTAACACAGACTGATAAGGGGGCCCTGGCTAGAGACACCGCCTGAAACTCCACCAGTAAAGACATTTTCCTTTAGGCCAAAGTGTTGCAGTACCAGAATTGTCCAGAATCCCTTAATAAAAAACTCACCAGCTTTGGTACATTTACCCACAAGACCTGCTGGCCAGACCCTCTGACTGACCTCTTCTGCATGGTGGGCAAGGTGAAGGAGAGGAAGAAGGGGGAGGGGAAGTAACAGGGCCTGAGAGCTTTCAGACACTTGTGAGAGGATCCTGGCTCTGGGAACACTCTCCACCACTCCCTATTGCCCTGCCTTCAACACAGCTGAAACCACAGGGAGATGTGGACAGACCTGAAACCGGGGGACAGGAGGCTGCAAGAAAGAGCTGGTCCTGAGGGACGAATGCCATGCTGAGGCAGGGCCCACCCCAGCCCCTGCTTCAGGACCCTCACCTTCAACATCACGTCCAGCATTTGGGCTGTTGCCTGAGGGGGCTCCATTAGGCTGTAATCAATGCCAGCGAAACTGTCAATCTCTGTTGTGACTGTGAACAGGGGAGAGGCAGCATTAGGAGGCAGACAGGGAGAAGGGGTGAGGGCCCTTACTGACCTACATTCCCATGACTTTCTTCAGAGCCCCCTGCCCCTCTGCCTCAAGACCCTCCGCCTGGCCCAGCCCCAGGGCAAAGAGCTCTTTCACCAAGAAAGAGACCAGCTGGGTTCTCTTGTCCCACTGGTGGATTAGCCATGGGGGCAGTGGGGAAGCTCAGCTGGGAGCTTGAGTGGATTCCAGGGAGACACACACACATCCCGAGGGTGGGAGGAGCCCAGGTCTGGCAGCCGTTCACACCTGGAGCTTCCTGTCAAGGCAGCCACACAGTGGGGAGAGTTCCCTAACCAAGGGCATGGCTGTCCAGGCTTACAACGGAGGCCTTGATCTTAGGGGACCTGGCCTCCTAGCAACACAGACCAAATAACCAGGAAGGTCAGACACATCCCCCCACAGCCCTGGAGGAACAGGAGATCCGTGTCTCAGGGCCAGGTTGTCTGTGCCCACCTGGGCTTCCACTGGAGGGGGTGTGGGGGCTTGGGGGCCAGGCTATCACAGGACACCTCAGACAATTTGTCAGGGACTGTCCCTGCACATTTTACGTGTGCACCCTAGATCTAGAGCTGCCGTGTTTGAGGGCTGTTCTGCGGGTACACTTAACGTGCAGGCAGAGGCTGGGCCAGGTGCCTTCTCCCCCAGACTGGCAGTAGCACAGGGGGGCAACAAGCCTACATGTCCAGAATCTGGGGAATTATTAAATAAATGAAGGTACATCCATAGGAGGGAATACTACACAGCTATTAAAATGAGACTGTTACAACTCCTTTGGAAACTAGCAGGGTTTGATAATGCTGATACTATGCATACCCTGTAAGCCTGCAGTCTCACTCCTGGGTATACCCCAGACACACGCGTTAAATGAACTAGAATATCCATAGCAGCACTTCCCATAATTTTCGGTCTGAAACTGAAAACAGCCACAGGACTGTCAGCAGTAGACGGGATAAATGCATGCAGGGACGTCGACACGGAGCATCCCTACACGGCAAGGAGGATGAACAAACTCGCCGTGCAACAACATGGATCAGATTCATTTTAAAGGTGAACAAGGAAAACCTTTGTTTTTGATAGAAGGCTCTGAATACTGCAAGATTCCATCCGTGTACAAAATGCAAAATTAACCTTTGCTGGCAGAAGCTGGGGTAGCGGTCACCCTTGAGTGGCAGGCAGTGACAGAGGGAGGCACCAGGGGGTTCCAAAAGGCCAGTCACACTCTGTATGTTGCTCTGGGAGCTGGTGTATATGTGCTCAGTTTGTGAAGATTCTTCAGGTTGTTCACTTAATGCTGTGAGCACTTTTCTGTATTAACTTACATAAAATACGTTTTCAAAAATGTCAGTTTAGATGTGTTGATACAGAAAGACTTCCAACATTTACAAGTTACAAAAGGACAATGTCTATGCTGAATAGATTTATATATATATATATATATACACACACATAATTATGCATATACACATATTCATTAAAAAAGGAATACATATGTAAATGTGTGTTCATATACTCATGTAAGCAGGGTTTGCAGAAGTAAGGCCTGCTTGAGTGTGGTTGGTAGGGCGATACTATGGATGTAATAATTTATAGTTTTAATTCTAACATTTCACCTAAAATGTCATATGGTGTGCCTGAGTGTGATATTGTTGTTACAGAATTACATGCTTATGATTTTGTAATAAACGATTTTATAATAAAAAGGGGGCGTTATGTGTGCTGGACCCTGTATTTGTATACGCAAAGGAAATATCTGAGAGGACACACCCAACAGAGAGGTTACCTCTTGGGAAAAAATTTGGGGAGAAAAAGGGCCTTTTAATTTGTACTTTTCATACTTCCATCCCATTTAAGGTTTTATAAGGTACATATATGCTCTTATAAGAATTAATAGGAACAAACTGTCCCGGGGAGGGGGGGCAGGGCGGGATTCCCTACCTGGAAGAGTTTGGAGATAAGGCTGTAGGTCAGAGGTCACCGATTCCTGGACAGCTTCGCAAATCTGAAAGAGACAGAAGAGAAAGCCCGAGTGAGCTCTCTGGCTTCGGCCTGGCACTGTGCTGCTTGCTTTAGTCACGTGATTTCACTCTGTTTTGCCCCCGCCCCCCCCACACTCACACACCAGCTCTGTGACCTTTGGCAGATGCTTTGTCCTTTCTGGGCTGGGGCCCAATTTTGACTTGAGCCCAGCCCCCGCACGGCTCGATGTTCTTACCTTGCTCTCCAGTGTCCTTTGGAGTTTGGACTCGATCTCGTCATGGAAGAGATTCACCAGCCACCTGGGGAGCGGGGCACAGGGGAGGGTCAGCTGCGTGTCCCCGAACGCAGCGGCAGTGGGGCAGCAGGCAAAGCCAGGCCCGAGGGAGCCCTCCCTGCCCGACCCCGAGACCCTGCTGTGTTTCCCAGTCCCCAGCTCCCGCACGCTCACTGATTCCGGGCACCTGGCACCCCAGCCCCCTGCTGCGCCCCAAGCAAACTCCACAGATCTGGGGAAGGGGCTCAGAAATCCGCGTGTTCCTCATCAAGGACATGTGACTCAGAGAGACTTGCCCAAAGGCTTGTATTGTATCTTTTTCACAAACTCTCCTTCGGCCCAAAGCCCCTCTGTTCCCCCAGTAGCCGCGTTTCATTGGCCTGATGGTAGTTCCTGAAGTTCTTTTGACGGAAATGGGCACCCGTACTCCTGGTTTGAATCTGTGCCGGTTCATCTCAGCAGTGTCCCCAGGAACGACCTCCGCGTGCCCGTGATGTGCTCACGCATTGTGCTGGGGCCTTTATGCTTTTCAGAGGCCAGGTCTCTGGCTGGCCGGCCTGGGGCTGCAACCAGGGCTTGAGCTGGCCACTGTCCCAGTGGTGGCTTACTTACCCCAAAGCTCCTGACATGTCCACCTCCACGTCATGGATGTGGCTGCTACAGGTGGAGGCAGTGACCGTGGGCCTGCCCGAGGGCTCACTGCCCAGGACGAGGTTGACCGAGATAGTGACGCCCTTGACCCACAGGTCAAAGGAGCCCTGCAGTCTCCTGGACAAGAAGAGAGAAGGAAGAATGGGTTCCTAGACTAGAGTCGGCCGCAATTTGGGGGGAAACATAAAATAGGAAGCCCAATGCTTACCCCCAAATAAGTGGAGCTGGAGCAACAATTTAATTACAAAAAAAATATTTCAAATGTTTATTATAAAGCAAATAGGAAGATGGGGCTGCCTATCTGCACTGGGGTAACTCAGAGGTGTGTCCTCCATCCACACTGTCTCTGGGGGTTCTCAGGAGTGTCTTCCCTCCCTGCCTCACTTCCCCAGGCCCCTGTGGGTGCTTCCTTAGGCCACTTCCCAGGTGAAGTATTTGCACTTAAACTCTTGCCTTGGGGTCTGCTGCTGGGGTAAGTGAACCAAGAACACATGATGTCATTATCTCATTTAGCTCTCCCACAACCCCATCAGGGAGGATGGTAAGAGACTGGTCCAAGACCCAGGACCTAGAACCTGGGTGGTCTCTTGGCTTGGGCTCCCTCCATCCACCACGTGGCCTTTGTGATGAGCTAGGGACTCCTTGGACCCAAGAAGAATGGGGCCAAGGCCAAGGGCCCAAGAGCCAGGTGTTGGGAACCGCCCTGACTGATATCAGAAACTGAGACCCCCGCCTAGGCAAGGCTAAGGGAACGCCCTTGGAACCGTGAGCCAGCAAGGAGACAAAAGCTTATCTTCCTGGCAGGAATGCTGTTTCTGCTGCTTTGTTCATAACTGAACCCCCAAAAAGCTTGGTCGGTTAGCCAAAGACGGGTAAGATTCCCCACGGGGGAACAACCCAAGCCAGGCACGATCACTTTTGGGAGGCCCCCCAAAAGAAGGACTTGGGGGGCTGCAGCAAAAGTGGGTGATGGACCCTCACTCCTCGGCTTTGACAAAGTCTGAGTTCTCAGCGTCCGGAAGAAAATCTCCTTATCTCTCGGTGGCCTTAGTTCCCTTGCTCCACCTAAGCCTCAAACAATGACGGGGAAGTACAGCTCGGTACTGGGAAGTGCGGATTTCCCGGGGTGATCAGGCCTAAGAAAGAACATGTAAATTACTGTGAAACCTTCTTTGTTCAAGAATGCTCTCAGTTGAATGAGGAGGGTCTTAGGAGGAAGCTAGTTTGTTCCTCAGCCTTACAGCTCTTTGACCCCCCAACTCAATAGACCGGCAGAGTTCTTTGTTTTATATATTCCTTACTTCCCCTAATGAGTATTGTACGTTACCTGAGTTATTATGTAGCATGAGCCCAATAAAAGCAGGTATGGACTGTAAATCGGCGCGCTCCTCACTAGAAGGGGTGGCCATTTCGTCCCTACTTCTCCACAGAAACTAGTTTGTCTCTGTGCATGTGTGTTTTTTCTCGCGTATTGTCGAGCCATCCACAGTGTGCCGTGGTCACTGCTAGCCGGTGACCCACGCGCAACAGCCAGGGAGTCGAGTCAACTTACAGGAATGACTTGCGCGCCTTCCACTTGCCGTGGACCTGGATGGAGGAGTTGGAGATGGACAGACTCAGGCCCTGGCCCGGGAGGGGTGTCAAAGCAGAGGCCAGCAGCTCACAGCTGCGGATGTCCAGGCTGAGGAGAGAGACACGGAGGGTGGCGTCAGCCCCGGCTTGGGTCCAGCCTCAGCAGGGGTCTTGCTCCCACCTTTGTATTTTCCCCACAGGGAGGACTGGACCAGCAGGGCTGCTTCAGGTGGGTGTCTGGGCACCCCCACTTACTGAGCCCCTGCTGTGCACCCAGCACTGACCACATAGCCACGCTCAGCACGCTCCATCCATTGCGTCGCTGAGGCCTCAGAGGGGTCAGCACTATTCTTCTTCCCTTTTCACAAGGGAGGAAATAGAAACTCATAGAAGATGGAAGGGGTGCATTTGCCCAAAGTCACAGCCTTAGGATCAGAGCCCACGGGTCTGATGATCCTGGGTGGGATCTGGAGTAGGGCCCATAGACACACCCCTCTGTGTTTGGAGCTCCTTCCCCCAACCATCCCCTCCCTTGACACAGGCAGGTGGGGGGAATCAGATTCACAGAAGGCCAAGGGCAGTTCAAATAAAGATGCAAAAAGGGCGGAGGGCAGCAAACCAAGATGACACGTCATCAGGGGCTGTCATTGGGAAAAGAATGATCAAGTGCCATTTTATTTGCCTAGTACATAGTAGGTGCTCAATGAGTGTTTGCTGATGGACTGAATAAAAGAGGGAAGGAAGGAAGCAATCAATGGTAGTGAGCAGGAAGGGGGTCGATGAGCTGTGGGCTCCATTGCCCTTCTTTCACTGCCTGCCCTGTGATGAGCTAGGGACTCCTTGGATCCAAGAAGAATGGGGCCAAGGCCAAGGGCCCAAGAGCCTCTTTTCTGCCCTACAAAAACTGCCTCATGCCTTTTTTTGCATCAGCTGCTTGTATGTAACCATCCTTCAAAGACTTAACTCAAATGCTGCCTCCTCTGGGAAGACTTCCTTGACTCGCCCAGATGTACAAACCCAGCTCTAATAGTTGAGCTACTGTATCTAAGGTTTGAGGTCTATCTTCCCTTCCAGACTGTCCAGGGGTCAGACCACACCTGGACTACCATTTCTCAAAGGAGGTGCAGGGGCATCCGCATCATACAGATAGGGAAACTGAGGCTCAGGTCACAGAGTTAGTGTGCCTGCATTACTATTTGTTGCATGAGCGAATAGAGGATCCCAATTCCCTCCTAGAACTTCCCTCTGAACTCTGAGAAACTGTCCTACTGTCTGTTTCAGAGGGGTCCTGACCCAATCCTGGGCCTCTCCCTCCCTCTCCAGGCTCCCACCCCTGCCACCTTGGGGCCCCAGCGGAAGGGAGCCCCACCTGTGGATCTCATAGTTCCCACGTCCAACATGCTTGATTTTGAAGTCCCCGTCGAAGTCAGGCAGTGTGATTTCGTGCAGCTCTCTCTGCAGGGCCACCAGCCCCTCCTTGGCCACTGCGGACAGGAAGAGGCTAGGAGTCAGCCTAGTCTGCCTGCCCCCCTCCCCTCCAATCCCGTAGTGGCTTCCACCTGCCCTGGGGAGAGAGGCCCACTGCCTTATCAACAGTAATTGCAGGTATGGGTTAGTGAGCCCTTCTGCATACCAGGTGGCTCAAGAAACACTCAGGGCATCGCCGCACTGAATGTGGCACGTGCCCATTTTATGGATGAGGAAACAGAATGCCCGTGTCAGCAACTCCACAGGGGGGAGGGCTGCCGTGTGCTTGTGTGGGCGATTCTCTTTCCTGTCCTTCATGGCGTCTAGCCTGTGTGGAAGAAACTGTAAGGGTTTTAGGGATAGAGTTCTCGCTTTGGCCTCTTTCTGGCAAGGTGCACTTGAACAAGTCCTCAACCTTCACTTTCTCCATCCATCAAAACGCAATGATAATACTTTCCTCACTGGGGTGCATGAGGGTGAGAGGCAATCGTTCAGAGTGCAGAGGGGCTGGGAGGATCAAAGGCAGTCCTGGCCTGGCGCCCGGCGCACAGCAGGCACTCGGTCAAGGCCGGGAACAGCGAGGTGGGTTTGTATATTGAAAGTACGGAAAGGACCAAAAGTCCAACGCTGGAGGATCTGTTAAATAAACATGGTACATTCACATGCAGAAGGGAACGAAAGGGAAATTTTGTCTGATTTAGGGTTTCCATAGAAACAGGACCTTCTGCCTGTTCTGAAATATGAAGGCGCCAGGACTGTGCCCACAAGGAGGACACGGGCTCACCGATTACCAACGGTCTGCCTCTTCCCAACTTACATTCCTCCCTTCAGCAAATGCATGTACAGTCCCTGTGCCAGAATTCTACCCCCTTATCTCTGGCTAAGTCCTACTTATCTTGTCTACCTTACCTCACCTCCTCCAGGAAGACTTCCCTGATTTCCCTCTCCCTCTGCCCCTAGCCAGCCTGGGCTCCCAACAACTGTACTTGGCAGAATGTTATTACCCCACTTAATACATAAGGCCATTGAGGCTCCATGAATATGAGAAGCTTCCCTTGATCAATTACTGTGCAGAGCGGTGTATAAAGACCCCAGACTTCTTGACCCATGGATGGATTAATTCTGAGGCATTGTTTCAGCATCTTTCAAAAAATACTCTTACTTTTGTCCATCCTTTAAAACGGAGGCATAACATACACAAGGTACCGAACAGGCGCTAGCCTTAAGGTGCTGCCTTCCTTCCCTTCCCGTCTCACATTTCCTCTCCCCTAGGGTGTCATCTCCCAAACCAACCACTTGCACCCCAACCCTTGTGTCTTTGGCTGGCGGGGACCCAGCTAAAACAAGTAGGTGCCTGAGTGACAGGGTGGTTGGGTCTCGAGGCCCAGAGTTCCAGCCAGGTTCAAAGGAGCGTGCCTGTCTGTGCCCCTGCCGTGCCCAGAGCAACCGGGTGCCAAGCGGATCAGCCAGCCCAGCTGAGGGCCATCGCGCCTTACCATACTCCAGGCCCTTGGCTGTGATCCTGGCGACCAGGCCGGGACGGGCGCCCAGGGCCCCAGGGGCGGACGTGAGCAGCAGTCCCAGCAGCAGAGAGGCCAGGGCCCTGGCTGAGGCCCACATCCTGGGCTCCCAGTGGGTGAGCCAGGGCTGTTGCAAGTGCAGGCTGGGCCCTGCTTCCTTAAGTAGCTGCGCCTGCGAGCTGGGGCAACTCCCATGTGGGGACGAGTTCCTGGAATCAGGATGGGAAGGGGGGGCACAGAGACTGGAACCTGCTTGCGACACTGTGGGGGTCATGTGTCATACTAAAAAGCCTGCTGCTGCCGCTCCAGGGTCAGAGGGTGGACCGGCCAGGCCCCAGGTGGCAATATCCGTTCACTCTTCCCACAGAAAGACCCCAAGTTCATTGCTAGGAAGACCTGGTTTTACAGACTAGGAAACTGAGGCTCAGAGGGGACACGTCACATGCTGGAGATCACACACCCAGCAAACAGCAGAGCTGGGAGTCTGGCGCCATCCCAATTCTCTCATCTTGATACTCGACACTGTTTATTTAAAAAAGAACCACCCCATCCCCACCCCGCCATGGGGAAACAGGCTTTCTCCAATCTTGCTGGTGGTATAATTTCCCGGAAGGTAACTTGGCAAATCATTAAACGCCTGCATGCCTGGTGACCCAGCCGTTGCATAATTAAGCCAGTGTACAAATATGCCACTGTATCAAGGTGCCCATTGTTGTGCTACGTGAAATAGGCAAGGAAGGAGCGGGACCCAACCTCAAGCGTCCGACAAAAAAGAGCACCGGCTAAATTAACGATGGTGCAGCCATTTAACTCGAGGCTGCAGAAGTCAACACATTCGCTGATATGAACAGATGGTCACAAAGGGGCCGTTTCTAGTGGTGCCATATCCTGAGGTTCTATTCCTTTGTTTCATTCCTGTGCTTGCCAGTCAGGAAAATTCTTAGCAAGGAGTTACGAGAAATTGTCTCTGGTTGACTGGGCAGGGTTACAGTTGTTTTAAAAATCTTTTTGTTTGTTGGTATTTAAAATTTGTATTTGGGGGAGGGGGTATGGTTCTGGGGATGTTTTGTTTGCAGTAATTAAAGATGGTAAAATTTTATTTTGAAAAAACAAAATTTGTAGCAGGGATTGTGCTAAATTCATAGGGGTTCCCAAGAACTCTGTATCTTTGGAGCATTATTGTACCCCCACCTCCAGGAAGCCTTCCCTGATCACCCCCATGTTTCCCTGGGTTAGAGAAAGGTCTCCGTCTGAAGTCCCAGAACCCTCTGCATTTTCCCCAAACAGCATTAACCATTCTCTGCTTTTTTGTAATTGTAGTCCTTTAAAAATAGGTCCAAAAATACTTTGACATTCCTCCTATCAAAAGGTGGAGCCTTCCTCTTAAAACTGGAGAGGTCTTTGTGACTGCCTCCACAAATCGAATGTTGTGGAAGTAACAGAGTTACTTCCCAGCGGGTCATACTTGGGGCTCAGAAGGGAATTTCCCATGCTGAGCATGGGGAAGCCCACAGCTGCCGCCTCTCTGCTCCACTGTCACTGGGCTGAAATTTGTCAAGGTCCTGTCTGTCACCTCACCAGCCCCGGTGCTCCAGAGGGCAGGCTTAAGAGGACTCCACCGTCCTGGGGACATCTACTTCCTGGACTCGGCCTGCCGAGAGGGGGGCCGGTCCTTTGCTTGGAGTCAGGAAACCAGTGTGCTCAGCCCTGCCTGGCCGTGTGACCCTTAGCAAGTCTTGTTTCCTCCTGTGCCTCAATTTCCCTCTGTAATGCAAGGAGGACAGAGCTGGTGACTCCCATGGGCCCTTCCAGCCCTGGAGAGTTGGGGAGGGCAGTGTGGAGAGTGAGGACCTCATAGGGACACAGAAGTGACTCTTCTGGAGGCAGTTTGAGGATGTCCCAGGCTGGGGTCCACTTGTAAGGGGTGGGGAACTCCCACGGCAGCAAACTTTTGACCTTAGACCTGCCCTGGCTAGTGTGCCACATGGCTGCGGGCCAGGCATCCACCCCTATAGGTGCTCACCGCTGCTCAAGGTCCCTTGGTGACCCGGGACCCAGCAGAGGCTCCTGGCAGCTGTGTGACCCGAGTGCTGGTCAGAGCCCCGGGCCTTTCTCCTTCCAGGCTGCCCATCCACTTCCGTGAAAGCCAAAGCCGCCGCCGCCCACCCACCAATGCCAACAGCAGTGGGAATGTTCTTGCTTCCAAAAGAACCACGTTTATTGATTCTGGCTACAAAGTGTTGGTTGAGAACAATTCAGAAAACCCGGGTCTTGGAAACCACAGTGCTTGGAACACTTGAGTGGCGGGCACACCGTAGATAATTGTCCACAGAGCAAAGGAATGTGAGCAGGAAACAGTGTGAGGTTAAGGGTGTGGACTCTGGGACCTGATGGCCTGGATGTGAATCCTGACGTGCCCACAGGGTCCCTTGGGCACCCTGTGACTCAGTTTCCCCATCTGTAGTTGGACTCAGCCGAGGGGCAGCACTACAGGCACTCAGAGAGTTCTATGGCTGTGTCACCCCTGCACCACTCACCGGCTTCCAGCTCTCACTGGGCTCGGGCACCCTGCCTCTATTTTCACTCAAGTTCAGAGATTCGAACTCCTGGGGCCTTGACACCCTTCCCCAGTTTCCTTCAGCCTGCCTCCCAGCTCTCACCGGCAAACAGTCTCTTCACCTAAATCTTAAAAACCACCCGAGCTGGATTCTGGTGTCCTGCCTGGACCCTGGTCAGCACGAGTGGCACACCGATCTCTCAGAGCAAATGCCGTCCTCTTGGGGAGAGCTTGGAATTCTTTTCCACGTCGGCAAGTCTGGTGCAGGCGCAGTGAGTGGACTGCGAGACAACTAGCCACGTGCAGTGACCCATGCTCTGCCGCCAAGAAGTCTCTGGGGAGAGGTGACATCCTGCTGGATCTTGAAGGTCACATGGAGGTTTTGCAGAGGAGGGAGCAGCAGGTGCCACAACACAGAGCCACAGGAGGGGAAGGACCGGCAGCGAGGAGGCCTGGGTCCTCGCCTGGGTTCCTCTCCGCACGGGCCGTGTGACACGGGGCAGACCAGGACCGCATTCCTCAAACCCCCCAGGGACCTTGGTTATTGAACTGAAATGTATTTTAATTGAAATATAACTGACCTGTCAGTGTAAGGCGTACAATGTGTTGACTTGATGTATTTATATGTTGTAATGTCACGACCACTGCAGCGTTAGCAGACACCTCCGTCCCATCACTTAATTATATTTTTTTCCCTGTGATGGGAACAACTAACATCCAGTCCCTTGGCAAGTCTGAAGTTTATAACACAGTACTGTTGTCTCTGATCTCTCTGCTGCAGATCAGATCCCCAGGACTTAACACATCTGCTGGTTCCCAGTTCGTCCCCTTGAACAGCCTCTCTCCTGTTCCCCGCCCCCTGCCTCTGGTAACAATTCCGTACGTGGGTGAGATCACACAGTTGTTGTCCTTCTCTGACTTGTCTCACTGAGCACAATGCCCGCAACTCTCACCTGGTTGTTGCAAGGGGCAGGACCTCCTTCTTCCTCGTGGCTGGGTGGTGCCCCTGGTGCACACAGGCCGCGGCTTCTGGGTGTTGGGGGGAGGGAGCCCTTGGGCACTGCCAGTGGGAACACAAACCAGTGCAGCCTCCTCGGAAAACACTGTGGAGGCTCCTTTAAAAACTGAAATCAGAACCGCCATACGATCCAGCAGTTCCACTTCTGGGTATTTATCCAACGGAAACAAAAACAGGATGCCGAAGAGATATCTGCACCCTCCCGTTCATCACGGCATCAAAGATACAGGAACAGACTAAGCGTCCATCGGCGGATGAGTGGATAAAGTCATTGTGGTGAATATATACCAGGGATCTTGTTTAAATGCAAATTCTGATTCACCAGGTTCCTTTGGGGGCCAAGACTCTGCATTTCTAACGAACTCCCGGGGGGTGTTGCTGTTGCACGGTGCTTTGAGCACAAAGGACGAAATGAGCTCCAGGTGCGCTGGAAGCTCAGCGATTCCCTAACTCTGTCCACTTCTATTTCCGGTGCAGTTTCCCCTGACGGTGACCACGCTCCTGAGAACGCCAGCTCTCATTGGGTCCCTCTAGGGCACTTTGAATTTGAGGGTTTGATGTTGATGACAGCCCCCCTCCTGGCCCTGTCAACTGCACACTTGTGCGAGTACACACACACACACACACACACACACACATGGCATGTGAATTTACAGAAGAAGAAAACAGTAATGTCAATTACCCAGCCCCTCACCCCAGGGAGACCCTGAGAATCCTGGGAACCCTCCCACCCCTCCTCCCCACCCCCTTGGCCTCTGCAATAAGCAGCATTTAAAATCCCAGCAGTAGCCTCATTTCACTGAGTCTTGATAGCTTTGGGGACCCTAAGGAGCTTCTGTTAAAATGAAAATTTCTCAGCGAGAAAAGATTCCTCAATATTTGCCAGAGTTCACTTTATTGGATTTCGTTCCAGGAATTCCAGAGGGCCCTTGCTTTTACAGATGGAGAGACGGGAATCTAGACAGGGAGAGGGGCTGGCCCGAGGCACGCAGCGAGCCCAGTGCTGGACCCGACTTTCTGGCCGTCCTGGGCCTCTGGTTCTTGGGGTCAGGCCCATCCAGGCAGGTGGCCCTGGATCACACTTCGAGGATCGTTGACACGGTGGCCTCAAGCCACTCAGCTGTGAATTCAAATCCTTGGTGATTTTTAAAATAAGTATTTATTGAGCACCTACTGTCTGCCAGGCATTGGGGATGCAACCATGGCAAGCCAGACGCAGTCCTTACAGCAGAGAGGGAACTGGCTTTACTGATGTTTGGAGCTGACCGTGATCCCTACTCAGGTCAGGGCTGCAGATCCCACACGTGTCTGGTTCTCCTCACAACCCTGTGAGGCAGGTACTATGATGACCCAGGCAGGAAAAATCAAAGCCCAGAGAGTTTATTGCCCAAGGTCACACAGCTGATAAGTAGCAGAGCTGGGGTTTGAACCCACAGTGTCTGGGAGCACAGCCCATGTTTTTAACCACTAAGGCATGTGCCCGGGCCAGGCTCTGAACACTGAGCTGAGTGACCTTGGGCAGGCACCCCATCACCTCCCTAAACCTCAGACTCTTCACCCAGAAAGTGGGGACCCCTTGTCTACTTGCAGAGAGGCAGTGAGGATTAAATGAGATGACAGATGTGAAGAGTCTGGCCCAGAGCAGGGCCACTCACGGCCACTCACGGGATGTGGCGAAATGCTGAACACAGGGCTTGTTAGTTCCCGCACGGCCCGCCCCTCAGCTCCCCTCCCAGGATACCCACCCCTCCATCATATTTAACATCGCCATTTCCAGAAGGAACCCCACGGGGGCAATCCCTAACCCAGAATGGAAGCTGATTAAACGGTGAGCTTTTAGGCAGTCTGGAGTAGGCGATTGTTTTTGTTTTTTTTTTTAACAGTTTTATCGACATATATTTCACATACCATAACACTCACCCATTTAAAGCGTACAGTTCAGTGGTTTTTACTATATTTACAGAGTTGCGCAACTGTCCCCACGGTCTAATTTTAGAGACTTCCAACACCCCCCGAAGAAACGGGCACACATCGGCGGCCAGGCGGAGCTGGAAAGCTCAGCCCGAGGGGACGCCGCTCTCCCAGTGGTTCTGCAGGCAGCCTGGCAGGCAACTCGGCTTGTCTTGGGGAATGCCCCTCATCACCTCACACCTCCGGACAACTGCCCATTTCTCAGCCCTTACAGAGAGGTCCACTCTCCGGTCCTTAAATTCAAGAAATATTGCTTTTTTTTTTTCTATAGCGAGTGGGGCAGGGGCTGCCTGAACGTTTTGGAAAGTAGAGGGGGGTGGGCAGCGATGTCCGAAGGGAATGGTGGGAGACGAGGGGGCAGGGGGAGGTGGGGCTGTGTCCCTGTACTCGCCAGCTCTGCTCCCCAGCCCCTGCGGCGAGGTCCTGTGCACACGCAGATGGGCAGTGGCCTCCCCTGCTCACCCTGAGTCGTGTTCCCACTCCCTCCCCTCCTCCCTTCCTGCCCCACTGGCTGCTTTTCTGCTCATTTAGGAGCCTCCGCTGGGTGAGCAGAAAAAGATGCATCCTCACAGTGGGCAAATGAGAGAAAGGATTTAGTTCCCTCAGCCCGACACCTTTTACAGCGCGCAACCTGCACAACCGAACACGGCAATTCCGCCTCGAACACCTCACTCGTCAAACAGACGAGACTGTCGCAGCCGGGGGGAGTGGAAAGACACGGGCTCTGGTGACAGAGAGGGGGGTGGCAGCGCTGCCATTTGCCAGCTGCGCGATGCAGGGAGCATGACTCCATCCACAGGCTCGAACGCTTCCCACGGCGGGGGAGGCGAGGGCTGTGGGGTTCAGTGAGGTTGTTCATGTGCTGTGCTTGACCAGTTTCCCTCTCTTCCCGGTGTGGCCCCAGAGCCTCGACTTCCACGTGACAGAACTGATGCTGTTAGCAGCAATGTGTACCGTTTTCTTTAAAAATACCTTTCATCTGGTTTTCATCACCATCCATGCTCTTATTCTCCACTTTTACTACGGCCCGCCTGGATCAAGTCTGAACAACAGATTCCTAATTCGTGCCCACCCCCTTCCTCTCGCCCTGCAGTGCTGTCAGAAGTCACAACAAAACATGTTAAAGCTAAATCTGGTCATGTCGCCCCGCACCCCACTGACTGCTTCAGACCCTGCCTCGCCCTTCCGGCCTCAGACCAAATGCCAACAGCTCAGAGAGGACTTCCAGGAGACGCTTCATCAAGCGCTGTTAGGATCTAACGGTCTGAGACAGCCACCCCTGATGTCCCACGGTGGGAGCTGTCCCAAAGCCCAGGAGGAAACTCTCCAAGTCCACGGACAGCCCGTGCTGGTAATCTGGAAAGCCATGGGTGAGGTGCTAACTGTAGCTGAGGATGCGACTGACTGAAACTCCAATGGCCTCTGTCCTCTGGCCCAGTTCTGCTTTGGGCCCAATGGCTGGGCAGGGGAGGAGATCATAGATTGAAGGAACTATCATCCGCAGGCCCCAGTGTCCGGCAGGGAAAACGGGCTGTGCAGGATAGCTGTTCAACAGCGCCACCACGCGGCCGTAGCAGGAACAACATCCACTCTGCAAACTTGGCATCAGGAAACAAGACTTACTACTCCCTTGGGACTCTTGGCCAGTGTAGAATGAGGGGTGTCTTCAAAGAAAAACAATGGCAGTTTTGCTAACAGAGTCATGTGGGGGCTCAAGAGACTAATTAGAGAAATAGAGAGGTGACATATCTGTGCTGTACAATGGTGCTATAAGCCATGCTGGGTGCAGCCGGTGAATGAATGAATGAACATAAAACAAGAAACAGTACCATCACACAGAATTCTACATTTTAAAACCCCGGACTTTTTGTGTGAAGCACGAAGAGAAACATTGTGGTTACAACCGAAATGCAATTCCTGAGGGAAACGTCGGTGCAGGCTTAGCCTTTGCAAGAAGCACCTCGTCCCTGACATACACACCGCCCTTTCCCAAGGAACAAGGCTCTCTGCATTTAGGTCATTTCTGAACCCGAGTTCAGAGAAGTCTGCAAGGGTCTCGGGGTCAAGAGGTAGGGAGTGTCGCTGGGAGAAAGGTGGCCTGAGCCCCGCGGGCCTGTCAGAAGTGGGTGTCGATGACCTCTGCCTCCTGGGGTTGCTGACAGCCCCCAGCACCCGTGGCCACTTCAGTGGTACTGCACGTCCGCGCCGAACAGCAGGAAATCCTGGGAAGAGATGGGAATGTCGCCATCAGCAGGAAGCCCACCCCAAGTTGGGCGGGGGCGGCTGCTGGGCTGTTAGGAGACTTTGGGAGCAGAGTGGCCCCGCTCTGCTGACAGGAAGGCAGGAGGGAGTGGGGGCACGCTACTGTGTGGCCTCTGGGGTCTGTCCAGCCCCACGCCTGTGAGTCTGTCCAGCTTCTTTGGCAGCTGCCCCCTCCTTAGACGTGGAGACCCCCGGGTGGCCCTGGAGGCCTTCGTTTGTCTTCCTGGCCCCCTGGCAGCTCAGGGGGGGCCTTGTTCTCGCCAAGGCTGCAAAACCACTTCTCTTTGCTCCGTCATGCCTGTCACTCACAATTTTCATACATGAAGAAATTAGATTGTGCCATGGGATCATTTTTTTAAAAGATGAAGTTGGTAAAAGGTGGGCAACATAGGAGATGTGTTTCCTCTGCTCTCTCATCTGCTTTTCTACAGTCTTTTAGCCCCAATAGTGTCCTGGTCTGAAAAATGGTGGGGGGGGCAGTGTCAGGGGGGTGTTGAGCCCTGGCTGTTGTGGCTCAGTGGACTGAGCACTGACCTGACAAACCAAAGGGTCACCGGTTCGATTCCCAGTCAGAGCACATGCCTTGGTTCCAGGCCATGTCTCCAGTTGGGGGCACGTGAAAGGCAACCACACACAGATGTTTCTCTCCCTCTCTTTCTCCCTCCCTTCCCCTCTCTAAAAATACATAAATAAAATCTTTTTAAAAAACTGGGGGTTGATTGGACCTCAGGAGTGAGGGAGGGCGAGGAATCTGGGCGATGGGTGGGTTTCCCGTGAGGGCTATGAAGTTATTGGGAAAGCCATTGACCGAGGTAAGGGATGCAGCAGGAGGCGATGGTTTGCTGCACAGTGATCAGCTTCGTCGGGACTTGCTGGGGCCTCGGGGTGGAGTCACGCAAGTCAGGGTGCAGAAGAAACTGGAAGCATGGCTGAGTCCCTGGGCGGGTGCGAAGGTGGCTGTTAAGCCTGAGTTGATGGAAGTGACCAGGGAAGGCCTGTAGTGGGGGAAGGGCAGAGGCCTGGGCAGGACCCTGGAGAACACCCCCTGGGAAGGAAGAGGAAGCAGGAAGCAGCAAAGGAGACTGTAAAGACCCCAGTGAGAGACGGCTGGAAAACAGGGAGAGGGCGTCAGTCTGGGAGAAAGGCAAGAGGAGGCGGTCCATTCTGGTATCTAAATTCTCCAGACACGGACCAGGCTTCCTGCTCCGCAGATGCATTCCAGCCCTTGGAATGAGGCTGATGCAAAGGAAAGCACCCAACGGATATCTCAGTAAGGAAATGCAGCCACCTCATGGCAGAGGATCTGTGGCCACCCAGAGACTTCCAGTTCCATTGTTACCCAGCATTGGGTGGGAATGATACAGCCAACAGTGAACAGCAGGGACCTGGCTTTGGAGCTGGACTTCATCTAATAGCCATGTGGCATTTCTGAGTCTTACTTAGCCTTCCTTCTCTGTTTATGAAGAGTGCCCACCTTCAGGGCTGCTATGAGGGCAGAAAGTACTTGGCATGGGGCTGGCACAGAGAATGCTTTTCAGCACCAGGTTGCTGCTGTGGTGGGAGACGGGGTGAAGAGAGGCCTTGGGGACTCACCTGGTAAGACTGAAGCACCAGGTTGAGCAGCTGGATGTGCCTGGGCAGCGGGAGAGGGAAGCCCTTCTGCAGCCTCTCTGCAACGGAGGTTCGGGTAAGGTCAGTTGGGGAGAGGGGAGAGGGTGTGGCAGGGGGTTCCCAGGGAGCGGGGTGAGCGGCCTCCCTGGGCTGGAGAGAAACCTGGGGCCCTCTCATTCCCACTCCTTCACCCAAGATCAAGTCCAGGACCAGTGCAGGCCTCTTGGCCGAGACCACTCTCCTGAGGGTGACGGCACTGCCAGAGGACACCAGGCCTGAGTGACGACAGCAGGGGCCCCTGCTTGCAGGGGTGTGGACAGCGCATGGACATGTGATTGGGGGTATCTACTCGTGTGTGCAGGAAGCCCCTCAATGTTTAGGCCACAATCAGGGACGGGCGGTAGTGGGGGCCAGAACTCGGGAGAACTCTAAATTCAAACCTGGTCTCCTGGGCCACCTGAAGCTACATGTACCCAGGGGGGAGGATAAGTCATACTCTGTATAATAACTGGTCTTCATTTACAATTGTTAAATATTCTGTCCCGTGTTGCATGGGCCTCCATGGGCACCGCTGCCCCTGGCGATGCCAAGGTTAGGGGCAGGACTGCCTGGCGCCTCTCCCGGGGGATGAGCACACTAGCCCTTGTCCGAGGCCCTGCTTCCCTGGCCTTCCTCCCCGATGTGGACTAAGCACACGGGCTCTGGCTCAGAGGTGGGATCAAACCCAAGCTCCACCTCCCACCTGCTCTGTGACCCGGCATCTCATTTCTCTGATTCCCTTAAATCATTTCACTTCTCTGATCTCCTCCCATGAAAACGGGAGATACGAATGATTCCTCATCTCCTAAGGATGGGGAGGGCAGGTAGTGAGAGCTCCACCCACATGGGTTTCCTTTTCTCCATTCCTTTTCCGGGTCAGATGCCGCCTGAGGTTCATTTGAGGTGCCCTCCCCTCAGCCCGCGCAACAGGGGCCAGGTGTGGGGTGGCTCTGGGAATCGCCCCTACCACTTCCCCTAGGACTGAAAACCAGTCGTTTCTCCAACGCTCCTTACCGTTGACCATGGGAAGCACGGCGGTGGGTATGACATAGTTCATGACAGCCTGTATAAGTTCAACCTGGAAATCAGGAGAAGGGTGGGGCCCGTGTCAGGGTGCGGAAGCGCCAGCGGCCCTGCATCAGCCTCCCCCACCCCCGCCCCATGCAGGGCGACCTCACAGCTGGAGGACTGCTGAGAAATGGGCCCCAGTGATGTAAAAACTCTGCAGCCCGATCAAGGTCACAGAAGGGATCCCTTTTAGTTTAAAGGTTCTGGATGTAAAGCAGGCTTTAGACTGTAAGGGGCAAGGCAGGGGAAGGTCAGCGAAGCATCAAATGTGAAAGCCTTTGTAGGAGAAAATGCATGGTCTCGGACACGGCGGGATAGAGGGCCCACGGGCTCCACCTTTCCCAGGGCTGCTCAGCAATGTCCACCCAAAGCCTTAAAAACGTGCATGTCTGGTGCGCTGCGAACACGCCTCTAAGGCATTCATTCTAAGGAAGTGACTAGGATGCAGATGCAAAGATGCTCAAAGGGTGATGAGTATAACCAGAGCAATGGAACATTACTCAGCGATTAAAAAAAAGAATGAAATTCTGCCATTTGCGACAACAGGGATGGAGCTGGAGGGTGAGTAAGTCAGACAGGAGAAGGTAAGTACAGCAGGACTCACAAACAAACCAAACGCAGACTCACAGACACGGAGAACGAACTGGGGGCTGCCGGAGGGGAGAAGGATGGCGGGATGGGTGAGGCTGGTGAAGGGGGGCATGGTCAAGTACAGTGTGATAACTCTGCCACGGTGACAGATGGTTCGTGCACCTGGCGTGGTGAGCACATTGTAAGGTAGGTACATAAATGTCCGATCACGATGTTCTACACCTGAACACTAATACCATATCTTATGTCAACTATACTGTAATAAATGGTTTTTAAGCAACCTACACGTCCACATTTGGGGAAGCGTCTGGAAGACACGGTGGCACTTTGATGCCAGGAACCTACGCAACTGTTCCGAATGACATTGTAGGGATAGAATTATCATCACAGAAACATCCAGGATATTTCTGAGTCAGGAAGAGCGGCTGTAGAAACCACAGAATTCCACTTTGTTATTAAATGTACACAGCAAAATGTCAGAAAGGATGTACTCCAAATTATTAACTAATGGTGAAATTAGGAAACGGTTTTTATTTCCCTTCTTTCCTAAACCTGTGGGTTCTGATTGTTCTAGAATGTATACTTGCCTTTGCAATACTAAAAACAATTTAACACTAATGTAGCATCCTCGAGAGAACTGCCTGCCATGGTGACATTTACAACTTGTAAATATGTACATTTTTGTTTCTGGAACAATTGAGTTTCCTTTCCCAGGCTGCAATTCTCTGGGCTAATCAAACGTGGTACCCTTCTCTCCATGAATCTGGGAACTTAACATTTTTATTTTCTGCAGAAGCAGAAGTTAGTTACCCACTGCATCATCACACAGGCAGAGCCCTGGTGCCGGTAAATCCGTGGGAACACACCGAGGTAGCTCTGGGTCCTTCTGTTTGATGCAGGCTCATCAGATGGAAATGGCTGGCAGAGCGCTATCAGATTTGGGGGGGGGGTACGTTGGGATGGTCTGACTTGGGGGTTGGGTGGTTTACAAGGTACCCACTTGGTGAGGGTCTTGGGGGCGTTTCAGAGATCCAAGGTAATGTTCTCCAGGGGTTCAACAACAGGCCCCATGTGGTTAGACGCTGCGGGCAGAATCAGCGTGCTGTGGCTTCTAATGGAAGCCACACAGGCCATGCTCTTGCAGCGAGGCTGCTGAAGGGCATTGGAGCTGCCGCTTCTGTGAGCACCTCACCACCAGCGCCCTCCCTGGGTGGGGGAGGCAGGGGTGGGTCTACTTAACGATGGTCGGTGAATCTGGGCAGTGGAATCGCGTCCCTGGGCTGGCGAGACCCCTGTTCCTCTCCCTCCCACCTGCCCTTCTCCATCTTTGTAAGTGACTTTGCCCTTCACCCAGCTGCTCCAGCCAGAAATCTAGGTGTCATTCCTTTGTGCCCTTCCCCTCGCCCTGCACCTCACATCTCTCACCATTTGTGTCTGATCTTACCTCCAAAGTACTCTCTGTCCCCAATCTGTCATCCTTCTCTTCCTTTCTGGCCTAGTCGCAGCCCCACCCTCTCTCACATGGACAAACGCACCTGCCTCCCCGCTGATTTGCATGGTCTAAGCTTGTCCCCCAGAACCCACCCTGCTAACGCCAGCCAGGAGCATCTTTCAGGAAGGTGTAAGTCAGCTCATGGCACTCTGCATGAAACAGTCCATCGCTTCTCGCTGCCCTTCACACGCAGTCTACTCTAGCCCCAAAGGCCCGGGGTGAGCCGGCCCCAGGGCCGCTGCCCCACTGCTATTCCCTCTGCCTGTGGCAGATCTTCCCCTTGCTGGCTCCCTCCACCCAAATATCACCTCCTCAGAGAGGCCCTCCCTGATCACACTGTCTAACTCTCAACCTTCTCATCACTGTCTACCCCACTTTCATTTGTTTTTCATAGTACTGATCTTAACCAAAGTAACCTTGATTTCTTATTGTCTGTCTGCCACTGTGCTGTAAGGCTCTAGAAGGGGTTGCTTCCCTCTCTTCTTCACGAGCATATACCAACACCTGGAGTACTGTCTGCCACATAGTAGGTGCTCAATAAAGTTGTTCACTTGCTCATTCAACAAACACTTATTGAACAGATTTTGCATACCAGATCATGCACATTTAATCCCATTTAAACCTCGCCACATTTAACTCAAGTGGGAAGGATTATGCCTGATTTGTGGGGAAGGGCTGACATTCTGAAAGGGGAAGTGACTCACTTGCCCAAGACCCACAGCGAGTAAGCAAGGAGCAGAGATTCCAGCTCAGGTCTCTCTTCCACAAAGCTCCTCCCACCATTGCTGTACATGCAAAGTGTATGCAAATGAACCAGTGACCTCCTGAAAGGATGCCACGAGCCCAGTGGCCTGGAGACTGTTATCTCAGAGTAAAGGGAAGGAAGGAGCCACAACAGCCTCAGACTCACCGAGAAGGGGCCGATGTCCGAGTGCTTCAGTTCCAGGAGCAGCCTGTGGGAAGGAGAGGGGGAGGCTGAGGCCCCATTTGCTTGACTCGTACGAGGATTCAGTTACTGGGGTAAAAGGGCCCACTTTGGGGACTGCTGCCTGGTTCCCCACCCAGCATTCATCCCCCTTCCTCTGGTCACAGTCCCTGCTTTTTCCTTTGGGGAAATCACCCACTCTCTACATCTTTAGTACCCAGCCTGGGGGTGGGCTGGCCAAAGGGCAGACTCCGCCTCCCTTGCCACAGGGATTGCTTCAGGAATAGACCTGCGATTCATGCTGAGCCAATGGGAGTTGGTCTCAGGACTTCCGCTGGAGATATTGGGAATAAAGTGTTCCTTTTTTCTCCAGAAAAATTAGGGAGCTGCTGGTGACCACGTTTGTCATTATTTGGGACAGGCTTCCAGAAAATTCAGCCAGCACAGGGGATAGCAGAGCCAAGAGATGAAGAGAGTCAGCATCCCAAGGACCTCCTTTAAGCACCTGGATCCACACTTGCCTGAAACCCTTGGACTTTTCAATGACCTGAGCCAATAAACTATCCCTTCTTTACAGCCTTTAAGGCATTTTAAATGTGATCTCAGAGAAACGGGGAAATAAACAGCTGTTTATTGGGCCCCTATCATTCACGATGTTGACTATTGTACTTTGTCCCACTGAATTCCTGTAACTCTGAGAGGCCATCACACTCCCGTGTAACAGACAACAGATGAGAAACCTGATACTCAGAGAGGCCAAACAACCTGCCTAAGGCCACACAGCTGACAATTAGCAAAGTAAGATTTCTAATAAGTCAGCTCGATGCCCTGGTGCCGGCCCTGATGCCAAAGCTTTCTCTCTTCTTCCCTCTCTCTCTGTCTCCAGTACCCTACAAAGCTTGAAAACTGCCTCTCGCTCACCGAAAGGGAGCAGCCCCAGGCCCCTGCCCTGTGGATTCTCAACCCGCCCTGCATGTTTCAGAAAGTCTGTGCTCAGCCATCACCCTGCCGCCTCGTCTACTTGAGAGGCCCATGGGTGTTTCCAGGAAAATTAAATCCACATGTTTCCGAGGCAGTAACACTTGTCAAACGGAAGCCACAAGAAATGAGCAGCGTGGAAGCCTCAGGGGCCAATCTCAAGGTTAAGGAGGACAGCTCTGCGCCAGGGAGAAGGCGGACATGCAGGAATGTGGGTCAAGACTCACACGAAACAGCGTGAATGTGATTAAGGGGTAGGAGCCAGGCCGGCTGTGGGGGCCGCTGCATCCGCTCTGTCCCGGTGCCGCCCTTTCTTTCTCTGTGTGCGGCGCCTCTCCACGCCTCCCCCTTCCCTCCCTTTGTGTCTGTCTTTCTCCGACACGCTCCCTCCTAACGTGTCTCCCCTGCTTCCTGTCTGTCTGTCTGTCTCTTGCTCTCCTCTGTCTCTCTCCATGTTTCTCCCTTTCCTCCTTCCCTTTGTGCGTCTCTGAGGGTCTCTCTGTCTTTTTCTCTGTCCCTCCCCCGGTTTTCGCATTTCTCTTTTTCTGCCTCCATCTTTCCCTCTTGCGTACTGAACACTTATGTTGCCCCTTGAAGTGTTCCAAACACTTCAACACGGATTCACACCTCCTTTCGTCCTCATGACCATGCCATTGGCCAAGTACAATGACTGGGCTTATGTTACATCCAGGGACACTGGAGTCTGGAGAGTTTGTTGCTTGCCCCCCAGCAAGCTGCTCTTTAAATGCAGGCAGCCTCAACATCAGAGAACACACGCCTAACAACCTCCTCTGCCAGGACTCGAACCCGGGCACGTGGATCCCAGAGTCTCCCAGCAGGGGAAGCCTGACAAGCTCCCAAGGATGGGGATGAGGAAAGCAGAGTGGGTTTTCCAAGTGCCGAGGAAGGCCGGGGACATGGGGTGGCTGGGGGCCGCTATGGTCCAGTGTGCAGTGGGGTCAGTGGGTGCCGCCCAGCCATGAGCTGCTGCATGACAGAGGGGTGGCCTGGGACTCAAGACTCTCAAGGCTGGAACTGGGACACGCCAGGCCAACTGAGGTGGCTGGTTACCCCATGATGTGTGGCCTTGGGCAAGTCACTTCCTCTCTGAGTATGAATTCTATTATTGGCAAAATGGGGACATTGAGTCCTCTGCACGCTGAAGCTTCGGTGTGATGGGTGATCGGGGCAGCAATGACACAGTGCTGGGCATGTCGTAAGGTCAACGCTAGCTCATGGACACCACGAATGGATGGGCAGCTCCCTGACCCTCCCCTGCAGGGTCACTTACTTGTCCAAGCCGAGCTGTCCCACAAGCCTGTCGGACTTGGCGCCGACCTCCACAGACATGTTCGTGCTCTGCAAAGCAACATCCAGGGAGGTGAAGTCCGGACACAGGGCCCAGGGCTCTGCACGGCCCCCGAGGCAGGGAGGGTCAGCCTCGGAGAGCCGGCAGAGCAGCCCACACTGCGGGTCAGACCCACAGAGGCCAAGGCCGAGGATGGGGGTGAGCGATCTTCCTATTGCTTCCTGTTTATTGATGAGTCATGGACTGTCGACCAAGGACCATTCTGTCCCTGGCCCTCGAAGGCCCAGCAGAGTTCCCAGGCTGCTTGCGAGGGCCAGGCCGCAGGGCTGGAGTCGTGCCCTGCTCCCACAGCCGTTCAGGCATTTATGTACTCCCCAGACACTCAGTGAGTGAGTCAGGAAGCCGAGGTTCCCACTTCAGCCTCCCTGTCTGCCGTCTGCGACCTTGGGCAATCCTGTCAGAACCATTTCATCTGCAAAGCCGGGGAGGTGGGTCTCCACTTGAGACAGGGCAGACCTGCTGCCTGAGGCTGTGAGCGCCTCCTGGTGGAGAGAAAGTCTGGCCTTGGCTCCCAGGGGCTGAGTGGGTGCCACCAAATGTTCACGGAGCGACACCGTGATAAGGCGAATGAATGCGCAAATCAACAACGGAATGAAAACTTGAACAAATGAAGGATTAACCACACGAATGAAGGGATAAGCAATGAAATGTGTGGATGAATAATGAGGGAATGAACAAGTGCACAGAGCAGATGGTCAGTTGAGCAAAGGTATAAGTAGATGAATAATAACGCATGTACGAACCAGAGAAGGTATGACCTATCTCAGGCTAGCAAGCTAGTGAATAAGCGAATGAATAAATGAGTGAACATACACAAACGTGCAATCGAATGACCGAAGATACGGGTGAACGAACCAGAAACAGCACACGTGTTTCCAGCCCACGGCGGGATGAACGACCGCAGGAGCGAAGGCCCGTCGGAGCCCAGAGCAGCTGGGGCCGTGGCTCTGGTCTCAGGCCCTGCAGTCGCACCGTCCGGGTTTGGATCCGGGCAGGGCTCACACCGGCCCCCTCTGCCCGCACCCCGAATAGCTTACCATGCCGAGCAGGAAGAGGGGGGCCAAGGAGGAGTTCGGGAGGACGGCGAAGGCCTGGGCCTCCAGGGCCGGGGTGAGGGCAAGGCCAGCGGGGGACACCTCGAGGCGCGGCGGAGAGGAGACCCGGACGAGGAGCTGCACGGTCATGTTGGGGAACATCCTGGCCACCTGCGGCCCCGGCGGGGCAACCAGCAAAAGGGGCGGTTTTATTTCGACCTGTCTAAGTCCTGTCTTGTCCTGGCCCCTGCATAAACACCTCCCATGTCTTCCCATTGCATTTTTTAAAATGTATGTATTTATTTTATCCTCACCCGAGAACATTTTTTCATTGCGTTTAGAGAGAAGCTTTGACCGATTGCCTCCTGTACGTGACTGGAGGGGGCATTGAACCTGAAACCTAGGTATGCGACCTGACAGGGAATTGAACCCCCACCTTTTGGCTACAAGATGACACTCCAACCAACTGAGCCACACCGGCCAGGGCTCTGCATGGCATTTGGACTAAATAGTAAAGGCTGCATGACCGGGCAGCTGCCAGCCTCACTCTGTACACCCGCAGTGCCGGCCACACGGGGCTCCTGCTCCACGAATACAACCTGCTGTTCCCAAGGCCCTTTGCACTCTCTGTTCCCTCTCCATGAATGCTTGTCCTCCATTCTTTCCCAGCTTGGCCTTTCCTCTTCCCCGGAGTCTCAGTTCAAATGTCACCTTGGAGAGCAGTGGGGCTCCAAGGGGGAATGAGGAGGGCCTGGGGGACACCCCACCTCTGCTGGCCTCCAATCCTCCCCCAGGTAAACTCATAGTCTGAGTAAAAATAATGTGATCGTGACATGGCTGGTGTGGCTCGGTGGATTGAGCACGGGCTGCGAACCAAAGGATCGCCGGTTCGGTTCCCAGTCAGGGCACATACCTGGGTTGCAGGCCACGGCCCCTAGCAACCGCACATTGATGTTTCTCTTTCTCTCTCTTTCTCCCTCCCCTCTCTAAAAATAAATAAATAAAATCTTAAAAAAATAATGTGATCATTATGCAAAATAAGCTTCAAGACAGTTGCCCCGGCCACCTAATCCGTCACACTTCCTCTGCACCCGTACCTCCTGTACAAAATTTTCACCACTGAGGAGGTGGCTAAGGGCTGAATGTTTGTGTCCACCCGCCTCCCCCAAGTTCATACATGGAAGTCCTAACTGCCCAGTGAGGCTGTCTGCGGAGAGAGGGCCCTAAGGAAGCCATTAGATTGAATGAGGCTGTAAGGGCGGGGCCCTGGTCCCACAGGGTCAGTGTTCTGGGAAGAGGACACACCAGCGAGCTCGCACTCTCCACGTGTGCCCCCAGGGAGGCCACCTGAGCGCGCAGCAAGAAGGCAACTGTCTGCCAGCCAGGGAGCAAGCCTTCACCCGAATCTGCAGCCACCGTGATCTTGGACCGGGACTGTGAGGGGTCCGTCTCTGATGTTTAAGCCACTCAGTCTGTGGCATTTGGTTAGGGCGGATGGAGGCTTCCCTTGGCCACCTGGTCTGACAAGACCTCATCAACCTGTCGGCTTCCCTTTTCACGGTTTTTTATTGTTTTGGGTGCCTGAATGATAATTTTCTCTCTCCACCGGACTGGGGCCCCAGGAGGGCAGGGCTACGGTCTGTTGTGCTGGGTGTCCAGCACACGGTCCTCGGTACATGGTGGACACTGAACACGTGTGGAAGGGACGAGCCCCGCACCCACCTGCCTGCCTTTCTCTGTCTGGGAGTGGGCTGTGCAAAGCCACGGCCACGCTCCCAGGCTGGGCTGCCTCTGAACCTGGCCCCTGAGCAGACCCCTGTCCTCCCAGCACCCCAAGGCCCCCTCATGAGCTGGTGATGGGGGGCAGGCCTTTTCTCACCTTGGGTATGAGGGTTCCAAGGTATTTGGTTGTCAGTCGGAATTTGGATTCCTTTGGAATCTGTAGCAAGAGAAGAAAAAGATTTTGCGGGGTTGTGTTATAGGTTGGAGGGGGGCACCTTCTGCACGAGGGGTGAGAGGCTGAATACACAAACAGACAACGGCCAGACCACATATGACAATGGGACACTGGCCCGCCACTTCTGCAGCAACCACCCCAGAGTGGTGAGGACGCACCCAGTGACTGCCAGCTTCCCAATTTTTTTTTTGCACCACGAAAAAGTCAAATATGCCCTTAAGCGAATCATATCAGATGCCTGGCTTTTATTAACCCCCACCCAGTGTTGCCATGCGACCACCTCCCTAAGCGCACACCTGAAGGCCTAGGAAGCCTCCCACCCCCTTGCCTGTCTCTGAGTCTTTGCCAAGTGCAAGTGATGGTGGCTGACCCCCTGGCCCAGAAGAGTTCTTATTCGGGCAGTCTTTGTCTATTTCCACAGGGGGCAAGTGGGGGGCTCAGCCTCCCGGGGGTACCTCTGCAGAGTGGGAGCATGTGGCATCTCTCCCAGGAGTGGCGTTGGATGGGTAAATGGAGTTCTAGAGCAGGACGCAGCCACGAGCGCACAGAGACAAGGAGGATGACATGGCAATGATGGAGGCATGACACTCAGACTGGGCTACAGAGCCTGACGTAAGGCAACTGCTCTGTCAGTGCTGCCTGTGACCTGGGAACACTCATCCAGTAGCCCCCACATGCTGGGCCTCTGCTGAGTGCTTCTCGTGCATTTGTGCCCCCTTTACTCCTCTGCACCCCCTCTGCAGGTAGATGTAGTTATTGGCGTTCTACAGACGAGGAAACTGAGATTCTGAGAAGTTGAGTGACGGGCTGGAGGTGACGCAGCTGCAAAAGAGGGGACTAATATGCGCACTCGGGTCTGGCTGGCTCTAGGGCCTAGACCTTGATCTCCCCAGCGTGAACCGACTCAAATCCAGACCGTCTGCTGCTCTTCCCACATCCACCCCCAGCCCGGACTTACCATGTCGTCCTTGAGGGTCAGGTTCAGGACTCCGGCCTGCTGGTACACGAGCCCGGCCGTGTTGAAGAAGTAGTCCGAGATGCCCAGGTACACCATGTGGTCGTGGTCAGTGGGGAAGGCCAGCGCCGGTGGGGTGAAGGGAGGGGGGCTGCGGTGGGCCAGGCTGAAAAACTCCCCCTGGGGGTGGAGGCAACAGAGTGAGCCTGGGCATCCCCTAGGAATTATAATTTGACGTGCGCATTCCAGGAGAATGTGGGCTGAGGGCCCCCAGAGGAGGAAGTCGTGGCCAGAAACCAACACTAGCATCGAACTCTCCTGGGTACTGGGGTCTGCAGACCCTGTGAGGTAGGTGTGGTCATGCTCGTCGTACAGGAGGGACCCCGAGGAGCAGGGAGGTGAAGTGACTTGCCCCAGGTCACTTGGGTAAGTGGCAGAGCCGGGAATGGAACTGGGCACCCAGGGTCCAGCAGGCCACGCCCAACCATCTGGCTGGCCCTGCCTCAGCCTTGCTGGGAAGCACCGGAACTCTAAAGAACACCGGGTTCTGTTTGTTTGGCGTTTCCATCCATGAAATTAGCAGTCATCTAAAACAGGGGGGCGAACGGTTGTGAGCATGTTTGGATTTTAGACCCGCACTGTCCAGGTTTTGGTGGAAGTGTTCACACATGTGCTGGAGAATACACGTTTCTATGTTTCTAAAAAGCAATTTAGCAGCACACCACAAAAGCAGATAATTTACTTAGTTAAAAAAATAATAGCGTTGAGTTATAAAGAAGCCAATTGTAGATGGATACATATGGTAAGATACTATTTATGGAAAATGTAAAGGCCTGTGAAACCTACTGTGTAAGAATTACTGACACAGAGTAAAAGTATAGAGACACAGGCAGGAGGAACACACCCATGTCACCAGTGTCATGACCTCAGGGGGTGGGGCTGGTGGTTTGGAGAGGGGACCCTGGGGGGCTGAGCTATTTATCTCTACAATGTTTAATAAAAAAAAATCAAAGGCAAATACGACAAAATGGTAACGTTTCTTAAATTTGGGTGGTGGGTACGTGAGAAGGTATAACAGTCTCTGTACTGTTGAATCAAGTCGTCATTGAAAATCAACAGCCATGACCCCCGCATTAGAGATTAGAGGTTGCCACGTGACTCTCAGAAATAGTGAGATGGACCTGTGCACCGGTGAGGGCTCATCTCTGAGACATGCAGCTGGTTAGGTGACAAAGTCAAGTAGAAGCCCAGCCTGGATCCATTCAGGGAGACAGGTCATCAGGAACACCTCACGGGTTTTAAGGAAGGCGACTTCAAAAGTGTGGAACCAGCACACTGGGAGGCAACACCCCCACCCCTGGGAACTGACAGGCATCACCTCCCAGCAGGAGCCTGTAGGGGGTGCTTGGGGGCTCATAAACAGTGCCTTGGCATCCCTCATTCACTAGGGACAATTATGCACCCTCTAAATCCTTTATGCTAGTGTATTACTTAGATTTTTTTAAAAGTATGCTATTTGGTCCAGCAACTTCATTTCCAGGAAATATCCAGCGATGTGCAGGGATCCAGCTACAAAAATGTTTGCTGCGGCTCTGGTTACATTTGTGGGAAAACTGGGAAGAGCGCGAATGTCCCAGGAGGGGGCACTGGGCTTACCACAAGCTGAGCCCTGAAGGTCCCAACAGCCAGTAAAAGGGCCGTGTAAAGGAGGACGTCATGGAGAGAGGCTCACATTACATTGTTCTGTTTTCCAAAAGTTGTAAAATGGTAGGTCCAGTGTGACTCATGTAAGACTGTGCGTATTTATTTTTATGTCTGTACAGGTGGTTCTGTTGTGTGCTTGTTGCTGCATCTTTTGTGGGTGTTTGTGTATGTTTGTCTCTTGGTGTCGACAAGGGTTGGAGTGTTGAAAACGACAACACTATTGTGTGTCAATAGTGCATATCTGAGTTGTAATATTTGGGTAATATCTCTCTCTCTCTCTCTTCCTCCCTCCCTCCCTCCCTTTCTTCCTATTTATTTATTTCTCTCTCCGATGTAGTTTCCAAATCTTTTTTACATCAAATGTCTTTTAGAACAAACAAGAAAACAGTGAACAAACACACCGATGGCTGGCTGTTGGGGGAGGGAGTGGGACCTACCGCAGCTGGGGGGTCAGGGGAGGCTGCTCTGGGGGCAGCGCCCCACACGGACCTACACAGACTATGAGAAGCAGCCGGTGGGGAGGGGAGGGCGTGGGAGGGAGGAGAGTTCAGGCAGAGGCCCTGGCAGGACCGCGTCCCTGAGGACGGAACAAACCTGGTGTGTGCAGGAGGCGCGGGCCAGCGTGTCTGGCTAGAGGGCGGTGAGTGAGGGGGAAGCAGCGTGAAATGCAGTTCCACCCACCCACCCATCCGATACACACCTACTGAACACCTACTGTATGCCAAGTGCAGTTCTGGGTGCTACACATGCAGCAAAGAACAAAGCAGTCACAGCCCCTTCCCTTTCATCCAAGTGAGTGACTCTCCTGTGTGTGCATGTTAGTAATAAATGCTGCTGAGAAAAATAAAGCAAGATGTGGGGCGAGAGGAGGGGGCTATTTCAGTGACAGGGGTCTGAGAAGGCACCTCCAGGGAGGGAGGGTATTGAGTAAAGACCTGAAGGAAGGAAGGTAGGGCTGATGTGGACATCTGGATGAGAGCCTCCTGGGCAGAAGGAGCGGCAAGTGCAAAGGCCCTGGGGTGGAAGCAGGCAGAGGTCAGAGTGCGTTTCAGGAATGACAGGGAGGCCAGTGTGGCTGGAGCGGGAGAAGATGCGGAGCGTGGAGCCGCAGGGTGCTTGAGCACCGAGAGGAAAGGGGTGGAGGCTTTGTGAGATTTGTTGCCGAGGGTGACGGGGAGCCCGGGAGTGGGAGTATATGATTCTCCGTGTAGGGCTCACCTTCAGCTGCCCATCCAGGGTCTCGGCCGTGGCTGTCGGAGGTGCCAGCAGTGAGTAATCAATCCCGGCCACGTTGTCTATCTTGGCTGTCACTGGAGGGAAAGAAGAGGGACGGTGAGCTGGCTCCCCATGACAGCATCTTTGGGGCCTTTGACGCAGGGTCAGCATCCCCTACAGTTGAATCAAACCTGCAGTTCTAGCTCCATGTCCACCCCCTCCAGAGAGCCCACGTGAGCTCCCTTTAAAGGAAAACGAGCCCACACCCCACCTTCACAGACACTGCCTTTCCCCCTTCTTCCATCAGCCCCCAGATGAAGCTAAAACACAGGGTCCAGGAGCAGAGAGACCTGAGCTCGACTCAGGCTTTATGTGACCTTGGACATATCACTTTTTTTTTTTGCTTCTCTGAGTCACTTTTCAGTCATTTGTAGAATGGGGTGACAGCGGTGGCTCACAGGCGCCAGAGGGGTGAATGTGAAGGTGCCCAGTGCCCTATCCGTGGCCGTGCTCAAAGCCAGAAGGCACTGATATCAGCAGTGATAATACCCCGGGCTGAGCCTGGGCTGGCTCAGCTCCGAGCAGTTTCTCTGTTCCCCAGCAGTAATCAATGGCAATGATATAAAAATTGCTCCCTCTTTTAGCCTTTCCTTCCCATGTCAGAGGCCCAGAAATGCCAACTTGTCCAAGATGGCACAGCTGATGCGTGACAGAGCTGGGGCTGAAACCACCTATTCTTCCTGCCTGGTGAGGCCAAACCTTGGACACTCAGCTGCACCGAACATCCCCAGGACGGGCTCTGCCCCTGGAGGGGCTGCAGGTACCTGGAGGAAGGTAATGCATCATCAACGGTATGGACTGCGTGCCCACCATGCCAGGCTTCCCACGGAGGGATGCTGTTAGCAGTTTGGGACCCAGGCTTTGGAGTCCAAAAACCTGCATTTGGATCCTGCTTCTGCTTCTTGCTGGGTTTATGACCTTGGGCAACTGTCACAGGTCCTTTCTGAGCCTCCATTTGCTCAAGGTAAAATTAGGAGAGTTGACAAACTCCGTGGGGTGTGGACAAGAAGAGAGAATTCTGCTGGACTCGAGGCATGTATTGGACATTCAATGGGGGACTGGGTCCTCCCAGGTTCAATAGTCCTCACAGCAATCCTGCTAAAGCTATCCTCCCCCACCTACTGTGGCTTTTCACGGTTTACCAAGCACTCGGGGATAAAGGAGAGTTGTTTCCGTTTCAAAGATACAGAAACAGAGGCCCAGAGAGCCAGAATGGTCAGCCTCAGGTCTCAAGCCAGTTATGCACATCTGGCCTCACACGGCTCTGGGTACTTGGCTGCTGGGGCCCTGTAAGGGCAGGAGAATGAGAGGCTGTGGGCTGCTTTTCCACTTCGCTTCTGGACCTGCCACAGGGCCCTGGCCCGGCAGGCATCCAACTGCCGTTTGAAAACCATCTGTTCTACTCACTCCCACCCAGGCTCAGGCCTGTCTGGAAAACCTGCTGGCTCCACCCCACTCCTCTGTGCCTTCCTACCCCTCTGCCCCCTCTATCCCAGTCTCCTTGACCCCACCTAGCACTCACCTGGCAATGACTGGAGAAAAGGCTCCAGCTTGGAGGACACAGAACTGGTCACTACCTGGCAGATCTGGGGAGGGCAAAAGAGGTGATCATTGAGGACATCCATAGTGTAACATGTTCTTTGGGAATAATGATCCGGATGTGTTTTGCTTTCCTGGAATGTTTCCTTGAAAATCATGTAACTAATCATGTTTCCCTTTTCTCTTTTGCCACCAGGAAGCTCAGTGCTCAGCACATAGCTTGGAAATAGTAACTGCATATGACTGGATGACCTGCATATCTGCATTTTATTTTCTACTCTGGTGTGGAACTTTCCTAATGGGTATTTACGTTTTCCATTTTTTAATGTGGGACTTTTTTGGTTTGTATTCATCCATTTGTGTTTGCTGTCTCAGACCCTTTGTGCAATGAGGAAAAGAAAAATAAACAAGAGGTGGTCAGCTGTCGTCAGCCTTCTCCTGTCTGTGCTTCTGAAAGCAGGGCGCAGGCCCTCGGCTCAGTTCTGGGTGGGGGGACCTCACCTTTGCTGAGTGTGGCCAGGAAGCCGTCCCTGCCCCTCCCCTGACTCACAAGGAAGTGAGCCCAAGTCTGAGAAGTCATGGCCCACGTGCTGATTTGCTTCTGAGGAAGTACCATATTTTTGGAGCATAAGACGCACACCGCCCCCCCCCCCACACCAATTTGGGAGGGATCATGGTTGGGAGGAATAATGCTGCTGTTGAGTTCTGTTTACATTTACATTGGTGAAATACTATGTTATTTATGTTATTAAATATTTTACCACATTTTTTGCTTCAAATTTTTTTCCCTATGTTCCTCCTCTAAAACCTAGGTGTGTCTTATGGTCTGAAAAACACGATAACTCTGTTTTCTCTAGACCTCTGTTTTTTCATCTGTGAAATGGATCGTGGCAGGTTATACTTCCCATTCCACTTGCCCGTCTGGCGGGCGGCCTTGGCACAGCTCCATTGAGAGGTGGAGTCTGGGAATTCTCCCTTAGAATCTGGGTGGGCATGGTGACTTGCTTTTAGCTAACAGAACACATCAGAAGTGACATTGAGTAACTTCAGAAACCAGGTCACAAAAGGCTCTTGGTCCACTTTGGTCTCTTGAAACGCTTCCTTTCTGGTTGCTTCCTCTGGGGACCCAGTGACATGCTGTCCAGCTCCATGGAGAGGCCACGGGTGGTGACTCAGGTCAAGAGTCCCAGCCCAGGCACCAAGGCCTGACTGCTGGGTTTTTCCCAGATGAGACCCAGACCGCAAGGAGGAGAGACGTGCTGAGCTGCCCAAGCCTGTTGATTTCCTGACTCGCAGACGGCATGAGCCTTAGAAAGTGGGAGTTGCTCTAGGACACTGTACTAATTGGCACTATTTGTTTGAAGCCACACAGAGCTGGAAAGCAGGATTTAAACTGCGGCCTTCGCTAACTTGAAGGCACTGGGGCTGGGGGAGGGGTGGTCAGATAAGTCCCTACCTTGATGGAGGCACTTGCCCGAGTTTGCAGTGAGACTGTTGCCTCATTAATCCAACTGAGTCTCCCGGTCCTCACCTTTCCTGACACTGGGCAGCCCCTGGCAGGTGGACCACTGTCTCCCAGAAATGCTCCTTCCGCAGTCCCGGCACGGAGCGCTCTCCCTGCTCTCCGCCTGTCCCTTCTTTCCCTCTTCCCCAGACACCCTGGTGAGCTCCTCACCAGCTCCTCTTCCTTCTTGCATATCGGAGCTCCCTGGGGCTCGCTGCTCCTTCCACTCACACGCTCTTCCAGAGCTGCGCCCTGCACATCCATGGCCCTGCTGTGCTATTCCCGGAGGCCACCCGCACCTGGTGTGAACAGCTCCCCACACACCCGGCAGCTCTCTCTGCCTGAGCACTTTCTCTCCTCTGGCCCTTGCTCCCAAGGGCCAAGGAGTTATACTGCCAGAACAGCTTAATCAAAGAGTGCTGAGGGCTGGTAGATAAACACCCAGCTTCCTCACCGCTTCAGGGCAGTTCTGTGGTGTGTGCCCCACAGTTCTTCTGAGAATCGCCTGCAGGACTGCGCTCCAGTGTCCCCAGCACTAGCCCACTCAGAATGTCCCAGCTCCCTTCCACCCCCTGGTCCTGCTGCCCAGGATCCCCTCCCAGTAAGCTTCTTGCCTCTGAATTTTTGTCTCAGCACCTGCCTGGGGCAGGGGCCCAAGCAAAGTCACCTCCTCCAGGCTACCAACTTGTGGCCAACACCCAGACCTTGGTATGCAGCCCAGACCTCTCCCGTGAGCTCAGGCCTGAGGGCCCAGCTCACCCCTGGCCACAGGCTCCCAAGGCCAACTCCTGTCAACCAGACCCCTCAGGTTCTTACTTCTCCTCAGGGCCGTCCCCCCACCCAGTCTGCCCAGAGGGCACCCTTCACACTTCTCAATCAGATTACTTTATCTGGGGGAAAGGAGGAGTGGAAAAGAGAGAGAAAAGGAAAGGAATGAAGGAGGGAGAAATCTGGTTCCCTGAAGTGTGTTTCTGTCACCTAAGACTCCGCATGTTCCAGGAGGACTTAGAATCTAAGGAACCACTGTCTCTTCTCCAAGTGACCCAGGGCTGGGAGGGACAGCACCTCTGGCAACTGGGACCAGCTGGACACCTGGGCTGCCAGTCCATTAGCCACAATTTCCAATGCCCCTCAGCCATGTGCCTCCAGATGGCCCCAAACCACAGCAGATCCCATCATAGCTTGCAGCCGGCTTCCTGCGGCTGCCCCCTCCACCCAGGCTCCACCCCACCCTACCCCCACCACTTGACATAGACTCTTTCTTCCCTCTGACACCACCCTTCACTGTGGGTTCCTGGGAGTCCAATCTCCAGCTCACTCTTCCCCATGTCCAGCCTTCCTAGCATCATGGACACCCCGTCATCTCATTTATTCTTTCATCCATCCACTCATTCACCCATCAGGCCAGTACTCTAAATAATACCTTGTTAGTATTAAAAGCTTTGCCTTTGAGGTGGGGTGGCCTGGATTTGCATTCCAGCACCGTGTATTTCTGTCTGTGCATCTCAGTTTACCCATCTCTAAAACAGGGAAAATCTGACATACCTGCTTCATAAAGATTTTGTGTAAATTAAATGCTAGAATTCTTGTAAAGAGTTCTTAACATAGTTCTAAGCTCACTGTAAGCACTCTGTCATCACCATCATCATCTTCACCATCATCATCTTCACCACCACCATCTTCAGCACCATCATCTTCAGCACCACCATCTTCAGCACCATCATCTTCACCACCATCATCTTCACCATCACCATCTTCACCATCATCATCTTCACCATCACCATCTTCACCACCATCATCTTCAGCACCATCATCTTCAGCACCACCATCTTCACCACCGTCATCTTCACCACCATCATCTTCAGCACCACCATCTTCAGCACCACCATCTTCACCACCATCATCTTCAGCACCATCATCTTCAGCACCACCATCTTCAGCACCACCATCTTCACCATCATCATCTTCACCACCATCATCTTCACCACCATCATCTTCACCACAGTCATCTTCAGCACCACCATCTTCAGCACCACCATCTTCAGCACCACCATCTTCACCACCGTCATCTTCACCACCGTCATCTTCAGCACCGTCATCTTCAGCACCACCATCTTCAGCACCACCATCTTCAGCACCACCATCTTCACCACCATCATCTTCACCACCGTCATCTTCACCACAGTCATCTTCACCACAGTCATCTTCAGCACCACCATCTTCAGCACCACCATCTTCAGCACCACCATCTTCAGCACCACCATCTTCAGCACCACCATCTTCAGCACCACCATCTTCAGCACCACCATCTTCACCACCGTCATCTTCACCACAGTCATCTTCAGCACCACCATCTTCAGCACCACCATCTTCAGCACCATCATCTTCAGCACCATCATCTTCAGCACCACCATCTTCACCACCACCATCTTCACCACCATCATCTTCACCACCATCATCTTCACCACAGTCATCTTCAGCACCACCATCTTCAGCACCGTCATCTTCAGCACCGTCATCTTCAGCACCACCATCTTCAGCACCATCATCTTCAGCACCGTCATCTTCAGCACCACCATCTTCAGCACCGTCATCTTCAGCACCGCCATCTTCAGCACCATCATCTTCACCACCATCATCTTCACCACCAGCAGCAGTATTATTGCTTTTTAGCTTGGCTGCTATCAAGGGGCTACTCTTAAGGTGTTACCAAGAAAATAATCTGTTTTACTAGTTCTAAGTGTTAAATATATGCTAACACTCCCCTCATACTATTACTTAGTTACAAAGACAGTTGAACTATGGGTCTTCCAAGCTGGCGGATAGGCACACTGCCTGCATTACCTCAGTAGTCCTTATGACAGCTTGCTGAAAAAGGTATTAGGTCCCCATTTTACAGATGGTGAAACTGAGATTCAGAAAGGACAAGTAATTTGTTCAAGTTTATGTACCTAGTTCCACCCGAGAGTCAGAATTAAAACCCAGAAATCCTGACTCTAAAAGCCATTGTATAATCCATTGTGTTACACGTTTTGACAACCATGCATTGATTTAAAAAACAAAAAAAAACAAAAAAACAAACAACTTTTGACAGTGTCTTCAAATAAATGACCTCATTTGGTTGATTTCTCCCTACCCATATTTCAGTGACTTGACTGAGAGACTAACATCGCCTCTCTGGAAGGCTGCACAGCCTCCTCAGTCTCCCCGAAACTCCCGCCCCCACTCTTGGCCCATCCATCCATTCTCACGGCAGTCAGACAGACTGTGCTAAAGCACAGATCTGGCTGGGTCACCCCCTTGCCTCAAACCTCCAGTGACTCCCCAGGGCCCTCTGGAGGAAGCCCAAGCTTACTTAGCTTGTGAGACAGGCTCTGGGAATTCCTGGAAGCTGATGATTTATTCATGGAAAACCAGGCGAATGAATGGCCCCTTTTCTCTGCCGAAGAGGCTGGCTGGGGGCAGGGGGTTAGCGTGAAGGCAGTTGGAGGGCTGGCCAGTGCCTGTCATTCATACCGGCTCCAGCCCCAGGGAATAGTTTGGCCACAACAACAGCTGCACATTTTCTGGGTGGGGAGCACCACGAAGCGGGGTTGGGGCGGGGCGGGGATGGGGAAGGAGGCCAGAGGACTACGAGAGAGAGGGTTGGTGGGGAGAGGATGGCAGTTTCTCTGCAGGGACGAATGGGGAGGGGGGAGAGCGGAGGCGATCCAAGCCGACGTGGCCGTTTACTGTGGGTGTGTGATGGGACCCTTTCCTAGTCTCTCACTGGGCCCCTCAGGGAAATAGACGCGCCTGATTTTTGGAGCTGGAGGTGTGGGTTCAAGGGGCTGGAAGGGCTGATGGGCAGTCTGGGCGACCGCAGAAGTGATCAGTGGTGCATGAGGTGTGTGGACATGAGCGCCCCTCCCGCTCTGACGGATGAGAACAGGCTGAGCCCCTCCTACCTTGCTGTTCATGGTGTTTCGGAGTGAAGACTCAATTTTTTTCTGGAAGAGTTGGATCAGCCACCTGGAGATGGATATATAGGTGAGGCTTCCCAGGCATCCCTGGTCTGCCCTGGGAAGGTTGCCTCATCCAGAAAGGCTACCTCCCTCCCTCCTCGCAATCGGCCTGGGCACCCACCCTCGTCCCTGAGACACAACTGCACACAGTCCATTGCACGCTCTCCCCCGTGCACAGTGACCTGCTTGTGAGGTTATTTCTTCAATAAGGGCACACACAGCTGGGCCCCCGCCCTGTCTCAGCCTCATTCCTCACCACTCCCCTGCCTCTCTGCTCTCCAGCCACGCCGCTCTGCCCTATCCTCTGGCGCCCTGTGCTTCCTCCCACTCCAGGGCCTCTGCACGTGCTGTCCCCGGTCCCCCACAACGACCTAACTAACTCCTACTCGTTCTTTTCATCTCCACGCAAACATCATTTCTTCAAGGAAGAACTGGCCAACCCCCAGACTAGGTCAGATCCTCCTGTTCTATGTGTTTGCCTCATTCTGTACCTCTTTTTCGTAGTTCTTACAGCCTTTTAAAATTCTTTGTGAGCTACTCATTAATGCAGCGATTTGGTTAATGTTTGTCTTCCCCACTGGACGGGGAGCTTCAAGAGAACAGGGACTGTGTGGCTGAATCCCTCCTCAGTAATCACTGGGGATGAAAACTCAGGTCATTTCCTACCCTTTCTGTGTCCGAGTTGTCTCCCCAGAACATGGGTACTAACAGACCAACCTCAGAGTCGTTGTGTGGATTGGATGAGGTGACGCACATGCGGAACACAGTGTCGGGCACACCGTAAGCTAAATAGGCCTTAGCCAAACAGTCTGTTTCTTGAGCGTGTTGTATAAGCCTGGCACATAGGATTCTTAGCAGATATTTGTTGACCAGCTGGCTGGCTGGAGGCATGCCTGTGGTTTTGTGGTAAGGACTGTATAACTCAGTGTATATACCGTGTTTAACCCAGAGCCTGGGGCAACAGTAAGAGCTCAGTAAAGTTTGCTGAATGAATGTTGAATGAACAAGTGACCTCCCCAGCGGCAGGATCGGGGTCTGCTCCATCAAGGACCCTTGTCCTTTCCCCTACACCTAAGGCCTCTAAGAAGGCCTGGCAAGGAGGTGGCACTCAGGACATGTTTTCTAAATACAGGGATGGTTAGGATAGCTCTCCTTGATGTCCCTCCTGCTAGCCACAGCCCCAGGAAGTCATACCCCAGGTGGCTGCCTGAGATGTGCAGGTGGACACTGGCAATGCTGCTGCTGCAGCTGGAGCAGGTGGCAGTGGAGTGGCCTGAGGTGGGGTCACAGCTCAGTTTCAGACCCGCCGAAATGGAGATGCCTTCCACACTCAGGTCGAAGTTGCCTCTGACTTTGCTGAAGGGAAACAAAGAGAAGAGACTTGGAACAAGCAGCGCCCCACTGCCATTTGAGCTTCTCACCCATGTTAGAAGGTAGGTTTTGCTATTCTCTCCAGTCTAGGGGAGGAGAAGGAGTTCAGAGAGGGAGGCAGGTTGCCCAAGGTCACACAGGAGCCGAGTGAAAGGTCCAGGATTCCAATCTGAAGTTTCAACCCATGTCTACCTGGCAGAACCCTGCTCTTACCCACTGCCTCTGCCTCCGCCCATGCTGTGTGGCTTTGGGAGTGTTTCTTTGCCTCTCTGAGCTCGTTTCCTCATCCAGATCCTGTACCAGCAGTGAGACACCAGTTTTGTCACTAAAAAGCTGAGTGTTTGGGATCAATGACTTTAATTAAGGAATGCCCCCATTCATTCATTAAGTGGAGTTCACAACTCCTCCCTTGGGGATGAAATGGGTTTTGGATAAAACAGTGGATGTAAATGTAATTTGTTAACTCTTCTATTGAGTGATGAAGTAACATTAATTTTTTGTGTGATTAAAAAAATGATAGGTCCTGGCTGGCGTAGCTCAGGGGATTGAGCACGGGCCTGTGAACCAGTGTCGCTGGTTCGATTCCCGGTCAGAGTACATGCCTGGGTTGCAGGCCATGTCCCTGGTAGGCAGTGTGCTAGAGGCAACCACACATTGATGTTTCACTCCTCTTCTTTCTCCCTCCCTTCCCCTCTCTCTAAAAATAAATTAATAAATGAAATCTTAAAAATTAAAAAACAATTAAAAATGATAGATAAGTGAAATGATAGCTACTAAAGAGCCCAAGTGAAGACCTAAGCAGTCCTTGTGGTAGGCAGCCGACAGCCCAGAGGTCCTTGCCAGAGAAGACAGATCCACACCCTCATCCTCACACAGTGACTTCTCCTCTGTTTTCTCCCCGGATTCCCCACGAAGGAGAGGTTTCTGAAGTGATTGGTCAGTCTGCAGCCACTGTCACTAGTGGAAAGGGTTACTGTGATGAGAGCCCAGTATTTAGATTCAGAGTTATAGTTTGGATGGTTTGCCCTAATTTTTTACCCCTCCCTGCATCCATACCCTCACCATTGCCTATGTTGGGGAGAGGGTGTATTTCCATGCTGCTGACTTTGGGTATGGCCATGTGGTTTGCTTTGGCCAATGGCATGAGTAGAAGTGACTGGGCCAGTTCTGAATCTAGCCTTTAAGGGGACCTTCACGTTTCCTGGTGCCTTTTTGCTCCCCCTGCCATCACCAAGAACATGCCCTGGGTAGCTCACCGGTCCAGAGAGGAGGACAAGATACAGGTGGAGAAGAGCCACCTCAGCTAAGCCCGACCTAGATGTGGGATCCGTGGCCAACACATCAATGTGCGAGTGATAATATATGACTTGTTTTAAGCCACTGGGTCGGGATATTTGTTACACAGCAATAGCTAACTGATAAAGAGGTAAATTAAAGGTCCCACTTAGCCTTCCACCCGAAGCCACATGCACAAACTCTGCCTTGCCAGTGTCCTGCACTGAGACAAGGACCAGTGCTCAGCTCTTAACCAAGGGTTATGTCGAATCTTCTTATGTGAAAAATTCTTCCAGGAACCCTGTGGATACCAAGTGGTGATGGGCAAGGCAAAACCCGAGCATTCCTCAGATCCTGGCTCTCAACCCTTCCAAATATCACCAAGAGCTCACCCACATCCTCAAAAACCCCAGGCTTAAAAACGCACATGAAATTCTTGCGTGCCTTCCATTTCCCACTCATCTTGACATTGGCATCTGTCACGGAGACAGCAAGGCCCTCATTAGGCAGCAGTTTTATCTGGGAACTGGGAAGCTGAACTCCACGGATAACCATGCTGCAAAGAAGAAACATTTAGTTAGCCTTCAGGGGCCCACACAAGGACCAGTCAACAGTTAATATGGACGCAGGCTTCCCACCCAGTTCCTGCACTCCATGCATTCCAGAACAGCCCAGATGCTCTGAGAGCGACCTTGGGAGACCCGGGCACTGGGCAGGTGGCTAGGTTCAGAAGTCAGACAAATCTGCGTTTCAATCCTGCTCTTAAATGCACTATTGTGTAACCCTGGGCAGGTCACTTAACCATCATGAGCCTCAATTTCCTCATTTGTAAAATGGACACAATAATCTCTTTCTGGTAGGGTGTGTGACAATCAATATAGATAACAGACATTACCCCATTAACTACAAGTTCTATACAGGGGTGCAGTGTGTCTTTTCGTCACTATTATAGCAAAGCCTGCTGTGTCAGACACAGCAGATGTTCAAAAATATTTTTTGAGTGAATAGGTATACAAAACTCTCTACAGAACATTTGTGGGTTTTCTGCCCAGGGCCCACCTTATTGTGTTAACAGAACTACCATTTAACTTTTCCATATTGCTCCAAAGAAAGTTGACTTTGCCTCCTTCTTTAGGGGGTGGAGCTTATGATTTGGGCATAAGGTGATTAGCATATTCTATTCCCCTGACCACAGTGATTGGTTCAGGAATGTGTACATAACCTAAAATGAACTAATCAGAGTGAATCTTAGGGGTTTTGCTTGAGTTGCAAGAAGCAGGTCCTCTCCTTCCGTAGGACTTGCAATGCTGAGGTGATGCTGGTGGGCATCTTGCCTCTTGGAGGAGTCACCCTTCCTGAGAATTAGACCTCCCCAAGGGAAGCGACACCAAGAGGTGGCAAGAGAGAAACGGAATCCCATGACGCTTGAGCCTGCCTGAAGCTGAACCTGAAGCTAGACTCTTCCAGGGACACTTCAGCCCTGTGAGCCAGTAATTTCTGCTTAGGCATTTTGGATTAGGTTTTCTGCCCTTGAACCCCCCTCCTCCATATCCTAATTGATATATGGGCCTAGCACAGAGTTTTGGGGTTCATGACACATCCCTCAGGGGTCACGGTGAGTGCCTGAGAGACAGTTTTTGTGGTGGAAGCTGGGGGATTGCGTCTCCTTGCAACGGGGAAGCACTGGCTTGGGGATCCTGACCTCTCTAGGCTGAGGACTGGGTGGCTCTGTGATTCCGGGCTTCGGTGGCCCCAGAACACTACGAAGCCCTGCACACAGAGGACGGAGCTTGACAGGCCTCACCTGTAGAAGCTGTATTCGCCTTTCCCCAAATACTTGACCTTAAAGCTTCCCGAGAAAGGGGGAATCTCGATCTTCTCCAGCTCCTTCTGCAGCGCAGCCACTCCCTGCTGGCAGGCTGAGGGGAGAGAGCAGGGGCAGCAGTCAGAGGCACGGCCGGGGCTGGCTAGTGGGCCAGGGCAGCCTCTGAGCCCTCGCCCCTGGCTGAGCTGGCACAGCGAGACTGGGAAGGTCCTAAAGCTAAGGTTTGCTCTAAAGGGCTGGAGAATAAGTATTTTGGGCTCCAGGGGCCCTGCTGTCTCTGTCACAACCGCCACAAAGCAGCCACAGACAATATGTAAGTGGTGGGTGTGGCTGTGTTCCTCCAATGAAACGTGATGAACGCTGAAATTTCACATTCGTATAATTTTCACGCAGTGTGAGATATCATTCTTTTTTTATTGTTTTTTAACCATTTAAAAATGTAAAAGTCATCTTTAGTCCTTGGGCCATACAAAAACAGGCGATTGCCCGGATTTGGCCTGCAGGCTGTAGTTTGCCATCCCCTGGTCTAAAATATTACCCTCCCCCGCTGAAACACCCAGTCATGCGTCCTATGGGCATTCATTGAGCACCTACTGTGTGCCTAGCTCTGTGCTGTGCCCTCACAGATACTCTGTCTGTCTGGCTTTTGGACTGTGTCTCCACAGGACCTTTGCATATGCCATTCCTGTTGCTTAGGAAACCCTTCTCTCCCGTCTTCACCTGATCACCCCCTAGTCAGCTCCACCATCACTTCCTCCAGGAACTCTCTCTGACCCAGCTGGCCCCTCACAATGCCACAGGCATCTCCTCGGGCTCTGCCATTCCTGTCTGTAATGATGCATTTATTCATGCGATAAATTACGCATTTATTTATTTTTTGGTTGATGTCTCTCCCCACCACCCAAGGTCAGTGTCAATGCCTGTTTTATTTACTAATGTAAATGTGTTTCCTACATTCACCACAGTGACTAGCACTTATACTAGAATACACTTAGTATTTGCTGGATGAATAAATGAATGAATGCCTCAGTGTCAAGGATTCTACTACCAGTTATGATGTAGCTAACAGCATCAAAGAACCAATTAAAAGGCAAACGTTATCTGAGAAAGAGTAATATGTAAAATGAGGGATGCCTGGCTTTGTGTTTTCCAAGAATCAGTTAGGAAATAATAATAATAATAATAATAGTAATAATTTATCAAGCTCTTATTCTATGCCAGGCACCATTCTGGGCTCTGTACATGTATTCAGTTACTGAATCTGAACACCCCTAGAAAGCAGATCCGTCACCACCCCCAGTTCTCAGACGGGGAAGCTGAACCTCAGTAAGGTGACCACACAGCTGGGCAGCTGGGGAGTGACGGAAGCAGGATCTGAATCCAGGCCTTCTGGTCCCAGAGCCTGTGCCCTGGGATGGGCCCCCTGGGGTAAGCAACAAACACACACACACACACACATGCTGTCACCACCTGGAGGAGGAAAGGAAACCTGGGCTGGCCGGGATCTGGGGGTCTGAAGCAGCCAGCTGTGGAAGGGTCTCAAATGCCATGCGAAGAGGTCTGGGGATCTGAGGGTCCTGGGGAACCACTGAATACTGTATTTTTGCTGTGTATAATGCACACTTTTTTGCCCAAACTTCTCAGGGAAAAATAAGGATGCACATTATACATGGGCATAATGATTACATACCATGGGTATAATAATCCTGTATATAATACACATGAAATTGTGGGTGTGCATTATACATAGCAAAATACGGTAGTCTAGGGAAGGAGAGAGGCAGGAGCAGATTTGCTGCCCTTCAGAAAACCCACTGTGGCTACCTTGTGGGGTGTGGGTTGGAGGGGAAACTGAGGCTGCTGTGACAGAATATGAAGACGTCTGGGTTTAAAGGCTGAATCCAAGCCTCTGCTCCTGGCAAGCCTTCAGGACCTCCCACCCCAGCTCTGTGTTCAGAGCAGGGCCACATCGCTTTCCCCTTGGGATTCAGAGGTGTCCTGCCTGGGCTGGGGTAGGAATTCAGGGATGACAGACAAGGTCCCCCTGAGTCCTGTCCTGATGCCGTAGTGGTGCTCCAGGGCACAAGGTTCTCTCTGCCTTCTCCGTGGTCTGGTTGCTCTGGGATGGGCTAGCCTCACTCTTCTGCAGTTCATCTCTCAGCCACTGGGAGACAGCATCGAGCTGCCACATGCAGGCACCTCAGACAAAACCAGAGCTCAGATCCAGGCGGCCCTCTGGCCTACCCACTACCTCCTCCAAAGTTTCCATTTGCTCATCTGTGAACATTGCTAGTAACAGTACGTCCCATCCAGGGGTGACATGAAGATGAAATGAGACAGTGCCTGGCACAGATCAGAATGGGTCAGCAGGAGCTGCTTCCTGCCCCACGCTCCGCTGTCTGGGGATGGGTGAGTGGCCTGGGGGACCCTCTCTGGGCCACCCACATGGGGAATGTGCACAGTATGGCCACCAAGCCCCTGCCCTGAGGAACATTTAAGAAGGGCCCTCCCTTTGCTCCTCCTGCCCTCTGCTCAGCCTCCCCACGGCCTGAGCTCTGCCCATGCTGAAGACTGAGCAGTAATCTTGAGGCAAATGACAGGGCTGAGAACAAGCTTGGGAAGAAAATAAAGGGCTCAGGAGCCGGGGTTGAGGTTTGGGTAGAGGAAGGGAGGGTACCTCGAGGACCCTGGGGGCCCAGGTACTGGACTTGGAGTCCTCCAGGCCCGGCACTGCGGTCCCAGTCCTGGGATCTAGGGCAACCTGTCTTGCCTCAGTTTCTTCATACGTAAGACGTGGTGAGGGACCTACTCTGCGGAGCTGTGAGCACACCATGCGCTGGAGTTAAAGGGCCGCACACAGCGGGTGCTCAGTACATGTTCCTCAGAGGTGGGAGAGGAAGAGAGGAAGGCTTACCATAGTCCAGGCCCTTCTGGGTGATCCTGACCACAACGCCGGGGTTGGTGGCCTCTGTCACAGCTGTGGCCAGGGCAGCCAGCACCACCAGGGTTGCCCACCTCGTCCTGCAGTCCAGGCCTTTGGCCATGTCTTCGTCCTCCAGAGCTGGCACAGCCTCGCGGTCTTGGCAGGGAACCAGGGACCTATAAAGGAGCTGGCTAGGGAAATGCAAGTTACACTAGAACATAGAAAGGAGGAAGGAACTGGGGTTGGGGCGGGAGAGGGGGAGGACAGCCGCCTGTGGTTCCCCACTGAGACTGGGGCCGCAACCCCAGAGGCGGCCAGAAGTGGAGTCTGGGAGAGGTGTGTGGGTGTGTGTGTGCATGTGGTGTGTGTGTGCATGTGGTATGTGTGTGCATGGGGTGTGTGTGTGCATGGGGTGTGTGTAAATGTGCAAGTTGAGAGGGAACCTCTGGCTCTGGGCATCGTTCCCCTCCCAAAGCACCCCATCCTCCTCTGTGGGTGGTGGGTATATCAAGGTTCATTATATATTTTTCCTGACCAATTGAGATATAATTGGCATATATAATAAAGTTATATACATTTAAAGTATATATACAATGCAGTGATTTTGTATATGTATACATTGTGAAGTGATTACTACAACCAAGCTAACACATCCAGCACCTCACATAGTTGTAATTTGTGGCGTGTGTGGTGAGAACACTGAAAATCTACTCTCGTAGCAAATTCCAAGTATACAAGATAGTATTTTTAACTGCAGTCACAGCTCTGTACATTAGTTCCCCAGAACTTACTCCTTTTGTAATGGAAAGTTATATTTTTCTTTGTACTTTTGATTTTCTTGATATTTTCCATATTAAAACATTTAAGAAAGCAGAATCTTTAGCTGTTTTTTGTTTGTTTGTTTGTTTTTGGTTTTGGTCCTGAGAGGCCAAATAATTGCCAAGTGGTAATAATTAAATTAATTAAATAATTATTAATTAAATAATTAAATATTACCAAGTGGTAATAATTAAACACTTGGATTTTGGAATCCAGTGTCTTAGCTGTGATTTTAAATCTTCGCTCTGCCAGTTGGGCAGTTTGGCTTTGGTTATGGCCCTTAACTTAACCTCGCTGAACCTCAATTTCCTCTTCTGTAAAGCGGGAATTATCAGGGTACTCTCCCTCCCTGGGTGACAGAAGGGCTTTAAACCACGGAGAGCACTTCTTCGCCCAATGCCCCTGCACAGTAAGCACGGAAGTGGTAGCTGTGAATGTCTCGGTGACCTTTAAAGCAATTTGTGTTCACCGGCCAACATTTGAGAAAGAACCTGGAAGGTAAAAGTCTCATGCAACTCCCATTGCAGAGACAACTAGCAGAGAAGGGTTTCAGAGCGTCTCTCTGCCTCCCCCCCACCCCACCCCCACCCCCGCGCTTCTCTGGGTCAGCACGAACAGAATCTGTGTTGTTCCCTTCCACAAACAGAGATGGGATCGCCCGGTCGCTTTGGTGAGATTCCCTTTTTTTTCGATAAACCGCATGTAGTGGACCTTCCCCCAAGCCCTAAATATCCTCCCGCATGCCCCGTAGTTCCTTGCTTCCTCCTCCCACAGTGTTCTTTCTTTCTTCATGTAATTTCTTTTTTCATATTTATTTGTATTGTTTTTGAATGTTCATTACGGACACTATCACAGATGCCCCCATGTCCCCCCACTTGGCCCCCCTGCACTCAGGCCTCAGCCCCCTCCCTCTGGCTGTCACCACGCAGTCGTCCGGGCCCATTTCCACAGTTTTCCTTGCATTCTTTCTGCCCCTTCCTTGGACAGATGCGGCACCTGAGGCTTGGAGAGAGGAAGTGTTTTTCCCACAGTCGGGAAACTGGCTGCTGCCTGCAGCGCTGGGATTCCGACCCCGGACCTGCTCGGGCTCCGCGCAGGCCTGAGCTCTTCAGCACCTTGGGGGTGGGGGGAGGGGCACAGACACTCCCCTTGCCGCCCGACCCCAGCCTTCCAGTGGGTCTCCGTCCGCACGGCCCCTGCCCCTCCCTTTGTGGCAGCCTCAGGCTCTGGGTAGGCGGGAACCCCATAGGGCAGCCAGCTCGGTCTCCATGGTGATGAGAGAATAGTGGGGCGTCTTCGAACAGGAGGCCATCTTCCCTCCTGCTGGGTCCCCATCAGCCCCCTGGAGCCCTGTCTCCCCGACTTCGGTTTCATGCAAGATTGATGAAGCCCGCTGAGCCAGGCGGAGGTGAGACCTCCAGAGTCGCTTTTTCCTCTTCTCTGTGCCTGGTTCTGAAAGGGCTTCCCTTCACGCCCCTCCGCAACTAGAATGCCGGCTCAGTTAAGAATGAAAACCGTGGCTCCGCACAGCATCTACTCTGTGGACGCTTTACGTGTGTCACCTGCCAGCCTGGACACAGCCCACGAGGGAGGACAATTCTGCCTCATTTTGGAGACGAGGGAACGGAGGCCCAGATTGATTATGGCCCCGTCAAGGTCAAACCGCCGTTCTCAAACAGAAGACTTCTTCTCCCCAGCTGGGTCAGGTGACAGGAGGACATGTCACCCTGGGTCATCAGCCCAGCTCTGCCCTCCTGGGCCTCCAGTGTCAGATGTCTGTATCTGGACAAGAAAGATAGGTCTAAGTAAGGGGCAAAACACACAGATCGATGACCTGTCAGAAAATTAGATTTCAGAAAAATCATCGTACACAGTTTTGAACACCAGCAGCTCCAACTGCACACAATGCCTGAGACCCCCGGGCCCAGGCAGATAGTGCGTCGGCGAGAGTGTCAGACAGGGAGGGAGCCATAAGATGAAATTCATGGGACTCTGACTCACACATTGCCACAAAATCAGAATCTTAAGACCAACTAGCAAGTTTATGCGTTTCCCTCTGGTGATTCATGCCCACAAATCCATGATGCATCCAGGAGTGACCCTCTGGCTTCCTTCAGTACTGCACTGGCCATGGAGTTATCCCGCTGCTTCAGATCTGACTCGTTACTTGGTATGAGTGACCATGTTGTCAGCCCAGGTAACAGGAATCCCCAACTCACACTGGCTTCAACAATAAGCACATTTATCATCTCAGAGAAAAACCATTTGAGGTTCTGGTTGATTCAGCAGCTAACAAGCATTTACCATATCTCCATCTCTCTGCTGTGTCATCCTCGTGTCTCTGATTTACCTTCCCACTGGCTCTTTTCATGGTTACAAGATGGCTGCAGCGGCTCCGGCCATTGCATCTAAACAGACTTCTTCAGCTGTTTCTCCGTCTCCTCCCCACACTCTTCTTCCTCCTCTTTTTTGGTCTTTTTATTATTGTCATAAAATATTTCAAACATAAAGGTAAAAATAGACTACCCAAGTTTATAAAATCTTAACATTATGCCATATTTATTCCTTATAGTTTCTTTTAGTTTTATGAATTTTAATGCCTGTATGGCTATGTGTAACCAGGACCACAATAAGAATATAGTTCCATCATCCCCTCAAACTTTCTCCTGCTATCCCAGATCAACATGGCTTAAATCATAAGGAAAATATATTATCTCAGCAGGAATTTAGAGGTGAGGTGGATCGAGAGTCGGTTAATGCCGGGCTTGGTTCTACTTTTCTACTTTGTGGTCTTTAGGATGTTGGTTTTTTTCCCGAAGAAAGTGCATTGGGTTTGGAGCCTGCAGAGCTGTGTTTATAGTCCCAGCCAGGCAACCTACTCTGTGTGTGACGCTGGTCAAGTTCTTTGACCCTTTCAAAATGTGGGGAAACGGTGCCCATCATGGGAGTTGCTCTGAGAGTTCAGTGAGATGAGAGGTATGAAGCAATCTGCACGGAGAAGGTGTTCAGTAGACGGTCATAACGCACCCTTCAGCACTAGCCGGCTGGAGAGTCCTTCAGTCCCCAGGAAAACTGACCTCTCAGCGCTCCGGCCCTGGGTCTGGTGTGGATACACGCAGAGAGAGAGGAATTCATGGCTCACAGGGCCTCGGTGAGCCTGCCACTGGCGTCTGGGCTGTGAGAAGCAGGCAGCCCCTGCACAGCACAGCAGTTAAGAAGTAGGCTGGGGACTTACAGGCCAGGCTGCAGATCCCAGCTTGCCACTTACTTATTGTGTGAGTTTGAACTTAACCTTGCTGAATCTCAGTTTCCTCATTTGTCCCCATACTCCAACCTCAGGTCCAGGCCCTTCTTCGGGCCCAGACGCTCAGGTTTGACCACCAGGCCATCCCTGTGGTCCACTGGGGCCCCATAGGCCTCTCCCTCCCCCTTTAGGCCTGGATTCTCCTGCGATTTCTCTCCTTCACCCACCCTGTCCTGCCTCCTCCGTGTGTCTGGCTTCCAGTGTCGGTGTCCCAGACTGGGGAGGCAGGAGGAGGAGGGCCTCGAGGTGGGTGCTGGGGGTGGCAGGGAGCAGAGGAGTGGGTCCTCAAGAGACCTGGCCTCAAAATGTAGCATCTAAATGCCAATCAGACATTTTGCACTGTGGAGATAACCTCTTGAGAGGGCGTCTCCTGCCTTGCTGTGCTAAAAGTGTCTGTCCCCAGAGCCTTGTCTCATAAAAAGGCTCCTTTGGGTTCCCTGGGCCCGGAGGTAGGGGAAGATCCTCCTTAAGGCATTATTATTATTATTATTATTATTATTATTATTATTACAGTCCCAAAGTAGATCACACGATATATTTAATAGTGAATAAATGAGAGAAGGGTCAGAACCCAGAGCATAAATTCCAGGCAATAACCATTTGGAGCCTCAGAAGGACAAGCTTAGCCCGACCTCACAACACGCCCCAGGCTTCCAGAAGAGACAAGAATTGACCTTGGCCCTGGGGGGTGAGCAGGGTTGGGAGGGCAGCCCCCCTCTGTGCCTCAGAGCTGATAGGGGGAGGTCTGCTTCTGAGACTGGAGGCACAGCCTTTGCACGAAGGACAGCATCCCTGTCCGGGGAGAGCTGAAGGCTGAGGGAAAGGAGAACGGAAAGAAAGTTGCTGGGGGTGGGGTGGGTGTGCCCGGGGTCGGGGAGCAGGAGAAAGCTTTGCTCTCGCTTCTCCTTTCTCGTTAGAAACTGAAGAGCTTGGCCTGTGTTAGGCTTTGGCTCTAGCGGGCTGGGCCTCCTCCAGCCAGCCCCAGGGAGGACCACAGGAAGTATAAGGCAACAGGGACTTGCCAAATGTCCAAGGGCCTCCCGAACTCAGAGCCATTTCCCCTCAGTCACGTTGGGAAATAGGTGTGTGTGCTGGGCCTGCCCCAGGGGACTGAGGGTTGGCCCCAAAGGGAACTATTGCTGGTAAAGAGCAAACTGCTCCCTGCCTGGCCCTGCCCAGTCTGGGGACACAGACAGACCTAGACTAGAGGGAGGTCCATGAGGAATGGCCTGGCTTTGAGCCCTGGCTCGCCTCTGCATGGCTCTGGGAACTTGGATGAAGCTTTGCTCCTCTCTGAGCTTCAGGGTCCTCATCCATAATAGCAGTCCCATCTCCGAAGGACTTAAACCACTCCAGAAAACAAGTTAAACCGTTGGCTAGCATTCTGTTTTAAACATCCATCTCGGAAAGTTGGTCTCATTGGGTCCATTTCACAGATAAGAACATTGAGGCTCAGCAAAGTGAAGAGCCTTGCGCAAGGCCACACAACAGAGATGTTGTGGGCTCCAAAGGGATGTTGAGGGCTCCAAAATGAGGAAGGGGGCACGTTGCGTTGGGTTACGTGATGGAGATGACTATGGAAAGCCAGGGCTCTGGGAGAAACACATCCCCTGAGCTGAAAGTGGGGGAAGGGCAGGCCGGTTGAGGAAACAACTCAAGCAAAGTCACAGTGGGTGATAATTCCCAGGGGCTTCAGTGTGGGATTGCAAGGGGGGAGGTGGTGGGGCTGGGCCATGGGGTCATGGGGTCAATGGTCTTGTTCTTGGGGGCCAGTGACCCCCTAAGTTTTCCAAGTAGGGAGGTCTTCCCATGTAACAGTTAGGTTTGCAACCAGTAGGTTGAGAAAAAAGCCGCTGCAAATTTAACAGCTCTTTTAAATGAATCTTCATTTTCCTAGCTCCGGGTTTACAGCCATTTGGAATGCGCAGAGCCAGAGGCGTGTGTGGTCACATTTGATAGTGTTTGGCCGAGGGACCTCTCAATGCCCCCGAAACTTGCCCTGCCAGTTCCCTGCCCCCTGGTCCCCACTGCACCTGGGGACCTGAGCCCAGAGACTGTCAAGCTCAGAAACAAAGTGCCGATTCACGGCCGCCTGGGCCCGTGGCCAATGGCTGAGGCTGCGCAGGAGCCCGGCAGGCTTGGGACCCGCCTCTTCCCGCCCCCGCCTTCCCCTCCCAGCCTGTAGCAGACCACGTGGGGGAGGAACCCCGGGCTGGCTGGCTGGGGTGGAGGGTGTGCTCGAGAAAGGGGCCACACACTAAACCTGACAAGCTCAGGGGGCCTGTGTGGCAGCCTTACCAACTCAGAGACCTAAAGTCACCACTTGGGGTGGCCTGCAATGAAAACTTTCTAACTAAAAGTTGTTCACGGTGGGTAGTTATGTCTTAGGTCGGTATTTTTCCCTAACAAAGGTCAATCTTTGCCTTAACTGAACCTGGTTTTTGCTTTTTTTCCCCCTCCCATCTATAATAACATACCTGGTAACATACCTTTGGGATATGAAAATAATATCAAAGTAGATTTTTTGGCATCCACAATAACATACTTTTGAAATACCATCATACTGTGGTCCTCGTTGGCTTCAGAACTCATTGAACCCTGTATTTATTGCATTTTGATGAGAAAAAAAATGTTTCAGCACTGGGCACTTGCTCGGGACTCATCTCACTCTGCAGAACTTGTGTGAGTCCTGACGCCTCCCCAGGGGAGAAAACGCTTCATCGTTCGGGACTTGTTAGTTTCGGCACTCGTCAGGAGTTCTGGAACAAATTAACAATGAGTACCGAGGTACCACTATCAAAGCACATTTTTTTTTGCATCTATGATAACATACCTTTGGAATATCAGAGTAACTTTTTTTCTTGACAAAGGCCAATCTTTGTCTTAACTGAGCCTGTCCTTTCTCTTTCTTTTTTAAATCTATAATAACGTACCTGATGACATACCTTTGGAATATCAAAGTAATTTTATTTTTTTCAGGCCCCTCAAAGCTCAACCGCAGCACCAGAGCAGAGACCACGGATCTCCTCGTTGTTCTGATTATCGTGTGACCTGTTAATTGTTAACTGCCCTAACTTGCCCGTGTAAAAGAAGTGTGTCTATTTGTTTTACTTTTCATCCTATCCCAGAGGTCCCTCTCCCCCCCATTTGCTTTCTCCCACCTCCCTAATCTGTCACTGGTGGATTTCATGGAACACCCTTACATCTGCCTCTTTGATTCTGAAGCATAAAATAAGTGATAAAACTGCCATTTTCTGGAGCATTTTCTCAGTCCGTTGAGATTTTCCTTCCCGGCAATTGTTGTCAGTTCGGCTCAGATAAACTCATGAAATTCTTACAGGTTTGGACGTTTCTTACACTGACGAGGTTGAAAAGGGTAGAGGGTTTAGGCTTAGCTTCCTGGTCACATGGCACGATTTCAAGAACAGAGCAAGGGCACCCGGGTGTGTGGTCCCGCAGCACAGATCCTCCCGCCCACTGAAAACCAAGGGCCAATCCATGTCCTAGAATGCAGCCAATCAGAGTAGCAATTCCAGATTCCTGCGGGAGGGGGAAGGACAGCCTGGACCGCAGAGAAGCAGGTGGGGGTGAGAGTGCTGTTTCTCCCACTTAGGGGTGTGTGATGGCCTCCAGACAGTGCTTCCTGACTGCGGGGTTGGCAGACCCTTGGAAAAAATTCGGAGCCTCCAACCCCCCCTCCCCCGGCCTTGAGGGTCCACAGACAGCTCAGAGGCCAGGTCCTCCCTGGTCACAGGTGGAGCCATTAAGGATTTTGAGCTGAGGTGTCACATGAGAAATGTGCTTCTGTTATTATAACATTTATGGAGCACTGAGCCCATGCAAAGCACAATGCTACCTGTGCCCCCCACTTCATTTCAATAAAGTTCTCTCTGCCTTCAGCGTAGAGGCCTGGAGAACTTCCAGTGGGTCTGTAAGTCAGAGTTTCATCCTTTCCATGAATTCCTTTTCTGCTCAAATCAGCCACAGTTGTTTTCTGTTGCTTGCAGTTAGGAACCCTGATCAGCACAATCCTTGTTAAGCGTCTGTGTGGTGTACTTGGGCAGGGACCAAGGGGCCACAGCGAAAAGAACTGCAAGAGGCAGTGTCCTGGGGTCTGATGTCTGAAGGTGGAGGCTGCTTTTCTGGGAAAAAGGGCAGGCAGGCATTTACAGGATGCTCTCAAGTGCCACTTCCCACGTCATCCTCCCCGCCAAGGAGGGGGTGGACATTTGTACTTTTGCAGATAGAGACACTGAGGGTCAAGGAGGCTGCGGATGTCACAGCTACTAAGGGGTGGAACAGAAGACAAGTCCCAACCCTGGCCTCCTGCCACCATACCCACTGCCTGTCCCCAGGAGCTCACAGAGGCACCTGGAAGACTAACATGTAGGGAGACTGGTCAGGTGGGACCTCAAAAGGGATGAAGCGCTGGGACCCATACAAACCCCCGCAAAAGCCCCGGCTGGGCTGGTGAGCACTCCCACCACCACGTGCCTCCCCAGTACATCGGTGGATTCTGAAAGAGGTCAGGCCATGGGGCACCCTAGAGGGCCACCAAGAGCCTACTGTGCACCTTACCCTGTGCTGCGCACCCCCCAAGGAGTGACGACAGTGGGGCTCTGTGCCTGGCAGCTGCTGCCAATCCAACTGGGGACGAGGGGATGGACCACTGTAAAATAAGGCCGCCATTGCTGAGCTCCTACTGTGTACCAGGCTGGGGCTGGCGCTCCCCACTTGTAATGGAACATGGCTGTTGATGCCTGAAATGCCCAGGCTCTGCTCAAGCCCTGCCTGCTAAAGAGTCTGGCTTTACCAACTCAGCCTCTTTCTCCACTCTGCCCTCTGAGGAGGGGGCGACAGGGTTTTCCTGGGTTCTGGGTGGCAGAATGAGGAAGAAGGGGGAGCAGGGAGAAAGAGGGAAAGGGGAAAAGACCAAGGGTCCGGGGCTAGCTCTGGGGGCTGGCTCTATATCTGTATGTGGACCATGGGGCTTCTTATCTGTTTTGTCCTTTGACCTATCCTGAATACCCAGAACAGCTCCTGGCACATAGTAGGTGCTCAGTAAACACTTGTTGCAGTTTGGAGGAGAACCCCCGCCCGCAGAGAGATGAGAGTAACGGTGGTGAGGGAAGCAGCCACTTGAAGAGAGGGAAATATTAGGAAGCACTTCTGTAGACTGCCTATTCCCTTCAGGGTCCACTAAATCATGAGTGAAGAATTAGAGTCATTTAAAAATTATTTTGAGGATGTCAGGAGTTTGACCCTGTGACTGCCATCTGCCCTGAGATGGGACCAGTCTGCTCATATATCTTTCAGCTGGATTTTCACAACAGTCCTCCTACATTTACTGAGCACTTGGATGATTGTCAGGCTCTTAGCACATGGGCACACACTCATATGCACACACATACAACATCTCGATTAGGTAGGCAATATCTTTATCCCCCTGTTACAGAGAGGATGTGGAGGCACAGAGAGCTCGAGTAACTGGCCTAGAGACACACAGCCGATACGTGATTAATCGGGAATCAGTCTATTTGGGCACCAGAGTCCACCCTCTTTGACCTTACATGCAACTGCAGGAGCCCAGGCAGTGGGGCAGGAGTGAACAGGGGGGGGGGGGGGGGGCCCTGGCTCTGAGATGGTCAGGCTGCCTGGTGGCAACAGGAGGGGGCTTCCAAGTCTGATTTTCTGCCCCATGTCCCAGTCTCCTGCCTTGTCTGCCCAGGGAGGAAAATAAACATGGACAGGACGAGGCTCAGGGTTCATCAGGGTTCAAGCCATGCTGTTTTCCCAGCTGTGGCTTGGCTGCCTCTTCCCAGCCCCCTGAGTCAGGCCCAGACTCCGGCGGCTCCAAGGAGTCAGGACAAAGTGTGGGAGAATTAGCAAACACAGGTGCAAAAGAAAATAAAAATCAGCTGCAACTCCTCTACTCTCGAGAGATGCGTGGACACCACTTCCGGTATTTATCTAGCAGTTTGTCTTTCTAGCAGATGCACAGATAAGTGGAAACCTCACCTGTAGTTGTACAACATGGATATTCATTGGACGACACAGTGGATGTTTTTTCATGCCCTGAAATGTTCTTACAGCCTATGTTTCCATAGTTTTCCCACCATTGGTTTATTTTAATTTGCAAATGCATTATGCACAGCAGCTTTTACAGTTTGCATTTTTCATTGGGGTCTCACGTGCGTACAGGAAACGGCACCCTTCCTAGTGTTTATGTCTGAGTTTGACAAACCCGTAGCCGGGTAATCACCACAGAACAGTTCCTTCACCCCCCAGGCAGGCTTCCCCTGTACCCCTGTGTGGTCAGCTCCTCCTACCATCCCAGCCCCCGACAATCTCTAATGTTTTCCTTTTCTTACAAATGTGCCGTTTTTGGAATGTCGTATCAATGAAACGAGACTGCATAATATAGAAAACTGCCTATGAAGCAATAAGATGAGACGCGTAAAGAATGCAGTGGAGCCCTGACTGGTGTGGCTCGGCTGGTTGGGCGTCACCCTGCAAAGGGAAAGCTCATCCGTTTGATTTCTGGTCAGGCCACGTGCCTGGGTTGTGGGTTCAGTCCCCAGATGGGACTCATACCAGAGGCTACCAATCCATGTCTCTCTCTCACATCGATGTTTCTCTCCCTTCTTTCCTCCCTCCCTTCCCCTCTCTCTTAAATAAATAAATAAATAGATAGATAGATAGATAGATAAAATCTTTAAGAAAGAACACAATAAAAATGTACAAAAACACAAAAACTTCCTGAAAGAAGCAGAGATGATTCATAAACACGAGAGCAGACATAACATTTCATTATCAGTCAGAGAAGTAGAGTGCGACTCTACCAAATATCATTACAGGTCCCCTGGATTGGCAACGGTGTGAAGGTCAGGCCGCAGCAGAGGATGGTGAGGGGCTAGCGGGAGCCGGGGAGCATGCAAATCTCCAAACCAGTTCCCCATGACCTTTTCAGTAAAGCCAAAGATGCTGCGCTCTGACGGACACAGAGCGGGGCCAGTCCTTAGAGACGGCGGAGGGTTCGGCCAAGAGCACGCGTTTTATAATCAAACCAGGGAGGCCCCCGTTTATCTGGCTCACACGCCACGCCAGTATTTCTGCTCAGGGCCGGAAACCACCACTGCAGTCCAAAGCCCCCTGGAATTACTCAGACTAGCCAATCCTCAACTGTTTGTCCTGCCCTGACGGGCCTTTCTCATGGAAACCCCATTAAACGCATGCCGAAGTGGTCCCCTCTGCCCTGGTCTCCCCACCACAGTCTTTCCCATGTGGCCCTAGGTGACGTGGTGCGCCCCCTTCCGTTGGAAAATGTAAGTAGTAAATCCTCCTTTCAATGGCATTAGGCTTTCCTAGTCTTTGCTCAGGCACCTCCAGAAACTAAAATCTGTGGGTACAATCACTGAAGCGGGGGATCTGATCAGGGAGAGGTGCACAGCGGTGCCAAGGCAACGGCCATGTTCTATTCCTTAAACCTATGAGTGGGTTCAAGGGCATTTACATTATTCTTCAAACTGTATGTATATGTCTTCATATCTGTAGCATATACCACAATAAAAATGAAAGAAATCCATAACCATTTTTGCTTACTCTGAAGGTAACACATCATGGGACTGATGTTAATTCCTTAGTTTTGATAAATGTACTGTGGTTATACATGATGTTAACATTAGGGGAACCTAGTGAGGGGTATATCAGAAATCTTTATGCTATTTTCACAATCTTTATGCAAGCCTAAAATTATTTCAAAATAAAACAATTTTAAGCGCTACAGAAGCTGGACCACACAGGGTCTCGGGGGGGCCATGCTGAAGTGTTTGGGTTCTGTGTTCCGAGCAGTGGGGCGTCCCTGGCCGGTTTTCAAAAGGGGGGGGGGGCAGGGTCCCGTGGATGTGAAGACAAAACACAGCTTCTTAAGAATTTTAAATATTGGCAGAGATGTGGAGGCAGAACTTCCCTTCGTCCAGATGGGGATTGCCTTGACCGTGGCCATGCGGTCCCTGTGATGGGGGGCAGGGAGGCTCGAGGAGGGGGTGCCAGAGAGAACACAG